GCTTTCTCCTGCGATGTTGTTGCTAATGTGCCGTCGGATTTGGACAGTGGTGGAAATGAACTATTAGTGAAATTTCTTCCGACCGCTTTGGCAAGGGACCAAAACGAACGGGAGCCATTGGGACAATCTATGAGTTTCGATCTTATCTTGGCATTGTATGTTTCTTTCGAAGCATCTATTGTTCGGCTGCAGTTATTCCAGGCATCAACGTATTCTGCTCTAGTCGCGAGGTTAGGGTTTTTGCGCCAGCGATGGTAGGCTGTTTGTTTCAAGACAACAGTTCTAGAACAGTTTTTGTTGAACCAGGGTTTCGATGGTGATGATCTTTTCGAAGAATGAGGTATGTATGTGTCCATTCCGAGCATGATGATCTCGGATATTTCCGCAGCACACTGTGAAGGGTCCTCAGAGTCAAAGCATACTCTATGCCAAGGAAACTCGGAGAAAAACAAGCGGAGACCGCATCCATCAGGACCGTTAGCCTTATTCGTTTTGAGACCAAGCAAAATTCGTCTGATAGTGCGTTGACGGAAGACGATTTCGGGCATTCGACTTTCAAACGGTGGAATGTCTGTTTGTTTCAAGGTAACAGTTCTAAACAGTTTTTGTTGAACCAGGGTTTCCATGGTGATGATCTTTTCGAAGAATGTGAAAAGTTACAGTAAGAATTTGGAAATATCAAATCCTCACTCAGAAACAAAGCTAATAATTATGTTTAATTTGTCCTACTAGGTAGATCAATTATTCGCAGATACATATCCAGCTTTGAGGACTTTATCTCTTTCATTAACACATGTAAGTAGATGAATCGACTAAAATACATAGGTACATCTCAAATACCTACTTTGTGAACATTATATTCACTCCACTCAATTTGCATATTTATTTCACAGGTTAGAAACGAAATGCAAACTACCGTAACCTCAAATTATGGCATTTTTATTTCGCGAATCTCATGTATTTCAAGAAGTGAAACATACTCTATTGCAGGAATATCTCAGCTGAAAAGCTCCTTCGAATCACAGGAGTAAACATATAAACAGTATTTTTTGCCTAAATCACTAACAAAAAATATAAATAATACACACAAGCAAGTGAACCATTTCAAAACAATGTACTGGCCACTTTGGCGTCTATTATCAATTGTTTATGTATCTATTCTAGTTTACCAGATAAGGGGTGACCAATATTATGTGGGATACCCTGTTCCCGTATGTACAGCCAAATGCAAAAGAAATGACGCATTGATTGTGTGTGAGTGGATGCATTTTCTGTAAATTCATATTCAGGCATCATGAATTGGCAACAACGAACAGTGACTACTTCTACTCATCCAGTCTGGATGAGTCGATGTTCGCTATCATTGTATTTTTGCCTGTTGGTTTTTTGTTTCCGTTTGTTTGATGTTTTGAAGTCAAACATATGTGAATCAGTGAATGAAAATTCTGAAATTTCTATATCTGTTCTAGTAAGAAGTCACAAGTTCCTATTATTTTCATTCAAGATGAGATATATCATTGCTATGGATAGTATTTTTAGGAAGAATACATGGCAATATACTGGGTGTCTCAATAAATGATTCCACAAAAAATAATTTGAACAACTCAACCATTACTTATTTGATGAGTGAGATGCAACCAAATGGTGGTTTCAGAGACTTGTGATTCTTGGTTTGAGGAACAATAGGAAATTATTAGCGATTTTATGAATTTGAATGTATGCCACATGTTTCCTATGAGCTAAATTGAGGTTCATCACATTATTCAAAATCTATTACTTTTCAGGATTACAGTTCACTTCAAATCATTTACTTAGGTATATAATAATAATAATAATAATAATAATAATGTTTATTTGCAGAATGATACAGGATATAGACATATAAAGGAACAACTGATTATTAGGAATTGATTATCGGATCATACCGCAAAATAGAGATGACAGGCAGTAAAACTGATACGAGTGTCATCCCTAGCGTCTGGCAAAAAACATCAAGATTGTCACATGAATAATGAATTAAGCATAAAATGTAAAGTAAAATGTAAAGTGGCATCATCTTAATGAATATGATTTATCTAACAGCATCAATTAGTGAATTTTTGTATGCTTTCCTGAACTTCGAGATTGTAGACGTTTTTAGGTTTGCAGGAACTTGGTTGTATAATCTGTAAATATTATAACTGAAGGACCTCCTGAATACTGTAGTTCGATGAGATGGAGGCGAAATTATTCCCCTGAACCGAGTGTTCAGATTGTGAATATCACTGTGAAATGTTATCTTGTTATAGAGATAAGGAGGAGTTTTGTGAAGAATAACTTTGTGAAATAAGGTTGCAGAGTGCAATTTCCTAGCAGACATACAGAGCCATTTAGTTTCTTTCAGTTTATGTGAGATACTTTCATATTTTCTTATACCATAAATATACCTAAGACAAGATTTTTGAACCCTTTGAATCCGATTAATTTCTATATTATCCAAACAAGGACCATAAATAGCGTCACAATAGTTAAAATGAGAAAGAACTAATGATTCGGTGAGCATAACCTTCGTTGATTTTCCTAAAACTTGACGATGGGGATATAACATTTTCAAGTTAGCATACGCCCGTTTCACGCATTTACTAACATGATTTTTGAACCGCAAGTCTGTGTCTAACTCCAAACCTAAATTTCTAGCAACTTTGACGCAAGATATATTATTACCCGCAATTTCAATATTAATGTCTTGTTCGATTTGTAATTTATTTTTCCCAAAAATCAAAATTTGTGTTTTTGATGGGTTTACCTGAAGTTGATGTTGTTATCTTTTTTCTCAATATCATGCTTCCTATAATACCCATACTTTCTACTTTTTTTCATTGCAATTTTCCCCATATGTGGCAGTGATTACATGAGATTTTAGAACTACTAATACAGTGTGTCCAAGATAAGGATGTGTATCATGGGGTGGAACTGATGATGGTTTCTCCAAAACAAAATATCCTACTGAAGATCTCTCAACGCTTTTTTTGTAGAGCTCAAAAAGTGACATTGAGAAAGTTTCGGTAAAACTGCAAAGTTTTTTTAGTACTTACTTATTTTTGTCTGAAAAACTCGAATTTGACAATGATAATGTGAACAAACCACTATTTATCGAGATATTTCAAGAAAAGTTTGAAATTTCGACTCCTTTTTCCCCTTGTGTTGGTTAATTTACAGGTACTTGCTCTTCTCATTTATTCATTGGACACTCTATATACTCATGATGTACTTCAATGACACATTTTTATACAGAAAATTCAACAGGAAATATGATTTTTATGGCGAGTTTTTCATATTTTGTGAACAAGCATACCAGATGGCCAATAGTCAATCCAAATACGAGATGTAAAATGTCAACAGAGTGCTTTTGAGAGACATCACACACGCCATCATTTCAAATGATATTCTTCCTTCTTTTCACTAGATATGGATAAATCACACGAAAATCATATTTCTAGTTGACTCAATAATAGAAAAAAATGTGTCTTACATTGTGATATATATAAATTGTCCAATGATGAAAAAAGAAGGGTAAATTGTTTTAAATGCAATCCAGAAGACAGGCGAAAAAAAAGGTGAAATTTGTAACTTTATAGTGAAATATCTTAATAAATAATGGTTTGTTCACATTTTCATTATCAAATTCGTGTTTTTCAGACAAAAATACCTAAGTACCAAAAAAAAATTTCCAAAAAAAACCCATCCCATGCTAAGTGAAGTTTTACCAAAGTTTCTTTTGTTTTCCTTTATCTCTTTCAATAACATGAGAAAAAATTAAAATTATGCCCATTATGGACATCCTTATCTTGAACACACTGTATATCAGACATGCATAATAATTATTAGTGATCATACATATATCAATATGTAATTGATTGTGTTCCCTATTATTAACTAATTATCTGTTTCTCAAGTATCATCAGTTTTTTATCACAAAACCCAAAAATTTCAGGAAATGTTTGTTTCTCAAGTCTCATCAGATTTCTATCACAAAACCCAAAATTTCAGGAAATTTTATTGTCTGATTTTCACAACCCCCTATTTAACATGATATAATAACTTTTCATTCCTGGAGCTTTTCTAGATTTTTTCTCCTCTTTTTCAAAAATGAATATAAAGGTCTCTATGAAGACCCAGCTCACTAGATTTTTCCTCCCTATTTAGCAGACAATGATATAATGTATTGCTATATCCAGCACTCTGTATTGTTTGTATGTATGTAGTTAATCTTAGTAGCCTCATAATGGATATGTCAAGTTGTTGATTACTGGACTTGTTATTTTGCATACATGAAACTGATGAAATGAAGATTTAATAGAGTCCTTCTAGTTTGGATTGATACTGAATATTGTACAAAGGTTGATCTGATGTCCCAAGCATAGAAAAATACCTTGTAATATCACATAATTCAATATTTGCAGCAATATATTGATGGAAAAAACTCCTATCCATGTCAATTTAGAAGTTATGTTTTTATTAACAAAAAAGATCATGGGTGAATTTTTTTTCCAACAAAATATTTTGACATAATATAGAGACTGGTATAGAGATTATTAAGTACTCATGGAGAAAACTCTTATCCACATGGATATCCATATACATATTTTGAAAGTTTGATTTTTGTCCTCAACTTTTAAAAGGGGGTCCTGTGAGGTGAACATGGTGAATTTTTGCCTGATGAAATATTATGCCATAACTGTACAGCTTATAGCTCCTAATGAATTCATTCAAGGAAAAAACTGTCAGGAATATTTTGAAAAAGATGATATTTTTTTAATTTTCAAAGAGGAGTTTTGGGGTGAATTTTTGTCCAACAAAACATTGTTACATAGGAGGTTTAATATATACAGCTCATCAAGTACCTCCAGGAGGAATACAACCAGGAAAATAACTTCAGACTGCTTCTGAGTCTACTTATATTCTGAAAGTTATATCTTTTTGATTGGTCAAAAAAGGGGCCCTGTGAAGTGAATACTCACAGATTTACTGGGTTCAATTTTCGGAATATCTTGGAATATTGGTATCGTAGTTTCCTCATTGATAATGTGTCCTCTAGGCTTATTCATATAATGAATTGAGTAGCCGGTTCCAACTAAAGCTCCCACTGTAATTCCAGTCAATCCTATACTAAACATTCCCCTGGAAACTCTTTCAGTTTTTGTAGAGTATTTTCTGAATCTGCATGGAGCAATGCTCTCCTCAAAGATATTTCTACACATGAAACGAGCGAATAGTGGCATTCGTGATGAAAACGACATTGTTTTGAGCATTTTTTATCCAACACTATGTATTTAATACTTTCTCATTATTTCCATTCAAATATTAAAATTTTTAATCTTGAATGTTTTGATTAGGTATTTCGGAATGCTGTCAAAATCAGATTCAAGATGGTTGCTGTACCCAAACAAATAGCTGTCATTCCGTGACTTTTTTAACCATATTTTCAATTGAATTCAAAATGTGTTAAATGCTGGTTTCTTCGCTTCTTTAGTTGATAATTGAACTTTATATACTTAGTTTTATTAGAATTGCATCATCTTTATGAAAATTATTGAATAGTTGATGTGTATTCCTTCGGTGTATTCTGGACACTATTTGGATAGGTTTTGCTTGGTGTTTGTGTTATAACAATGTTTTATTGTGGAATAATCAATTGTAAGAGTCGGTAATATCGTGATAGCATGAAGTTTCATCGAATCCTGAGTGTCTTGAAATTTAGACATAAATTGGAACAATGAATTATCAAAAGAAGAGACAAGTGGATAAATAGAAATGGTTTGATGGAGCAGAAACTCAAAATGGTAAAAGTGCACTTATCATGCGATGGGGTTTTTTTCGAAAATTTTTTTTGGTACTTACGTATTTTCGTCTGAAAAACACGAATTTCATAATGAAAATGTGAACAAACCATTATTTATTAAGATATTTCACTATAAAGTTACAAATTTCACCATCTTTTCCGCCTGTCTTCTGGATCACATTAAGAACAATTTGCCTTTCTTTTTCCATCATTGCACAATTTATATATATCACACAATGTTGGACACATTTTTTTTATTATATGAGTCAACTAGAAATATGATTTTCTTGTGATTTATTCATGTTTAGTGAAAAGAAGGAAGAATATCATTTGAAATAATGGCGTGTGTAATGTCATTCCAAAGCAATCTATTGACATTTGACATCTCGTATTTGGATTGCATATGGATTAAATGGCCGTCATCTGGTATGCTTGCTCACTAAATAGGAAAAACTCCCCATAAAAATCATATTTCCTGTTGAATTTTCTATCTTAAAATGTGTCAGTGAAGTACATCATGAGTATATAAAGTGTCCAATGACAAAATAATAAGAGCAAGTACCTGTAAATGCATCCAACACAAGGGGGAAAAGAAGGCAAAATTTCGAACTTTTTCTTGAAATATCTCGATAAATAGTGGTTTGTTCACATGTTCATTATAAAATTCGTGTTTTTCAGACGAAAATACGTAAGTACCAAAAAAAAATTTCGAAAAAAACCCCATCGCATGATAAGTGCACTTTTACCTCCCAGTTTATTTTTGGGATATGATAGCTTAGCCTCTGACAACCAATCTAAGGAAACTATCAATGATATGGAAACATCAGAATGCCAAGGTGAGGCTGCAGGACCATCTGATTTCAAACAGACTGCAGGGCCATCTAATGAACAGGCTGTAGGATCATCAGATTTTCAAGATGAGAACCTTAGTATAGTTCCTGCTGAATGTGATAAATATTCACAAACAAATATCACAGCTGTCAGCCTAGTGCTGATCTAATTATAATTTGATAGGAATCACCCCACAAGAAACAGTGTGTTTGATCAGTGAGGCTTGTGGAGAAAGAGCATCTGATTATCCCATAACAATCAATTCAAAATTAATAGATAATATCATTCCAGGTGGGTTTCTGTACAGACTTTCAATCTATTTATGTATGTCTACTGTTCTAACAATCTTCCTGAACTCATCTGAATTTCAAACAGTATCTATCCAACTTTCAATTAATACAAATTCAATTTGTAGGTGATTTGATTTTAGGTGACCATGGCTTTTTGGTTGGTGACTATGTACAAATTTTGAATGCCCAAGTGAAGATTCAAGCTTTACAAAAGGAAAGAAACAATTACATCTTACTGAGATTGTGGGAACTAGAGCTATTGCCAATGTGAGAATTCATGTGGAGTGAATTATTGGTGCAATGAAACAGAAGTACAGGATATTAGCTGATCAACATGGCAATTTCACTTATAAATATAATGTGGTGATGATCCAACTCTCCACAAAATCATTACAATTTGCTGTGCGAATATCAACATATGTCCCCCAATTGTTCAATTGGACTGAATATATTATGTTCTAGATTGATGAAGATATATAGTAATAGAGTTGTTATGCAATATAGACAAATCTTTGATAAGTAGGAACCAAATATATACAGCATATTATCTCACTTTGAAAGCCCCTTCCTCTATATCCCTGGTATCCCTCAATATCTTGATTTTTATGAAATCATATTAGGAATATTTTGGCATAAAAACTAACTTCATATTATTCCTCATGCTTCCAAACCGCTATATTGTGCAAAAAATCACATTTCAAATTGACAGGATTGGCTTAATTTTTTTTATTTTCAGCCTGGAGAAAATAGTGAATTCAAACTGCTAATCATGATTTAAAAAATAAGATACAATATTTTATGTGGAAGTCACCATTTCAGAGTAAATAATGATAAGATTACATTTGCAAAATTGCTATTTAGATATGCCTATTTTTGAATTTTGAACAAAACTCAAAAACACAAATGAACAAGATTGAAATTTATTATATTGTTTTAAGAGATTTTTCTTTGTGCCAACACTTTTGGTTGGTCAATTTTCACGAACTTTTCATGAAACATCAATGAACAGTGGATTCATATGTTAATTCATAATCAAATTGTTGATAAAAATATTCCTTGTGATAAGACTGATGAGTATTGTTTAAAAAAATCTGAATTACCTACTATGATATTGAGTTAATGTGATAAATATTTTGTGTATGAATAATAGGTACTCATTATGATAGCAAATGTTTGTAATTATTAATAAGTATTTTGTGTGATGATGATATCTATAGATACTTTGAACTGTGATGATTGTCAAAATTTCTAAATTGAAAATTCAAGAAGAATTATTGATGAACAAGGTTGATCTGTTTTTCAATGAATTGTTGGTCAATACAGCAAACTTTAACAAGACATTAAAATGTTCAAGATAATTCACAAAAATGACTTGGTGGACTTTCTGGAAACACATTCTGTTGACTATATAATTATTATTACAGGTATTACATTGAAATGTGTTTGAGAAAACTAAGTTAAGATGAATAAAATCATGAAGCATGAATATGTAGTGTTTTAATGAATTATAAGGTTGAAAGAAACTATAATATAGCTTAATTTTTAATTGAAGAATAATTGATTTCATCAATAGTGTAGATATTTGGGGGAATTGTGTCAATATCTTATTTGTGAATTTTCATATTTGTCTAGTAGTTAAGAACAAAGTGAATATTTTTGACATAAATTTCCAGTAGTGATATTGCAGAGCAAGACTAACATCAAAATATTTTCTGGAGTTACTATGGTCAGTATACATTTTTAAATATTTAGAGTTGAATCATGATAGTTTGAATCCTTGCAGATCAGAGCTACAGGAGTCTGATACAAATTTTTCAAACAGGATTTGCACAAATAGGTAAAGTGGAGGGAATCAGTGATATGCATTGGTGTTGTCCTTGTAAGTAAAAGGGTATCAAAGGAGGAAAGTACCTACACTTACTATAATATGCCTGTTTTGTGTGAAAATTATTGAGGAATTAATATGAATAATTGCTTATGCATGGCAGGGATATCAGATATTTGCTAGGTCAATTTCTCTTGAAGATTCCAATATTTCTGAGAGCTGTTGCCTTCTATAGGTTGAATATGTTCTAACTTTAGTGTGATTTTCTCTCAGATTTTTAAGACTGGCAAGAGTAACATTAGAAGGTTTAGGTTTCATCCATTTTGCCTGAAAATGGGTACTTGACTTGGCAGTTCTGCAGTTGTGAATACATGTTAAGCTATAGAGACAAGCAACAACATGACTACAAACTTCTGACAGCCCAGCCATGCAGGTGTAATGGCTCTGTATTTATTCCTTGATCACTTTTACAAAATACCCAGACTTCTAGTGAGGGTAAAATCATCATTTGAAAATGTTTCACCTACAAAAATATCGAATATTTAACAGGTACTATCCAATTATCCACTCATAGTATGACTGCCTAGAAAAACAAACATATGCCACTGATTTTCTTCACTCCACATAGGTATTTGTACAAAACATGCCTCAGAAAATGTATACCCACTCAAACTTTCATGAGCTTTCGTTTGCTCTGCAGTATAAAAACTAGGAGTATTGAAGTGACTCCAGGAAACATCGGAGCCTGGGTTTCCATTATTCTGCAGAGAATAGGGATCAATAGAATCACCGACTTTGAGTTTCTCTTTGTATCGCTCTATATTAAGACCACCAGAAATTTCTAATTTCAATAAATATTCACTTTATTCAAGATAAAAACTACAATATCAAAAAATCAAAACAAAATCATTGACGATCATAACCTTAAAAATCGCCATTTTAGGAGAAGAGGAAGTAAATTTTTGACGTTTGAAGTACGGACGGAAACGGGGCAGGTACAGCAGCCATTTTTAGGTCACGGGTTCTGGAATGCCTAATAGATAGGTCGCGTGCAAGAACTGTCAGATGACCGACCCTGGAGGCAAAACATATTTGTTTACAAGTGATCGAAATAGTTTTCCACAATTATTTTGGCATATGAATCGTATTTTTTCACTATTCATCAATTCGCTAATGCCATCACATTGTGCTGTTGTAAAATGCACAAAAACTGCAGCGGAAGATGAAAAAATCCGGATGGTACATTATGATTCAAAAGTAAGTACCTACTATAGTCACTCACATAGTTTTCATTTTTGAAATTTGGTTATTTCTCTGATTTCTCATCGGAATTCCTTCTGCAATAGGATCAGCTAATAGAAATATACCTAAAATTTCTAGAATAATGCAAGAAGATTGGATTCATGCAATCAATCGGTAGGACTGGTCTGACATGCTGACGATCGTGTGTGTTGTAGACATTTTCAATCTATTAGCAGCATTAGCTTGTATTGCAGAAGTGGCAGAAGGCAGAAGGAATTTTAATAAGGAATGACAACATTTCATAATGCTAACTATGTGAGATTACTATTTACCTGAAAAATCATATTCCCTAGTCTCTTGCTGCATTTTTTGTGCATTGTACAACAGCACAATGCGAAGGCATGCTTGAATTAATGAATAACGCAAGAAACACGATTCGTATGCCAAAATATTGTGAAAAACTATTTCAACCTTTGGATTCCTCTGTGAACAAATGAAAAAGTGAGGTTGTGTTCCAATAATTCACAGAAGATTGAGGTTGTGTTTCAATATTTTGCCTCCAGGGTCGGTCTTCGTGCACGCGACCTATTGATAGATAGGTTATGTAGTAGTGTGTTTTGACATTTGTTTTGTGTTGCGTGCAAGATCTGTCAGATGACTGACCCTGGAGGTAAGACATTGGAGTATAACCTCACTTTTCCTATTTGTTTATGAAGGATTGATAGTTATTTAACCAACTAGTTTATTAATGAGGGCGATTAATGATCGAGATGTTTTAACGTGCGAGCGAAGCGAGCGCGTTAATGTTCGAGATCATTAATCGCCTTTTAATATACAAGTTGGTTACAAAATTTTTCCGTCGACTATATTTCTCATTTCTCCTGCAATGAAGAAAACTTGGTTCGCGAATTCATCATTCATCTGGAAACTGCTATAAGAATCACCCAGTAGCCTTGTCACTGACATTAGTGTCATTTGACATTTGTCGAAATGATCAACATAGAAAATAAATTCCTTGTGTTAGAAAACAGGGATTAAAATCGTGTCAGAAACTTGGAAAGGTGAACCCGTTAACAGAAAATCTTCAATGAAATCCATATTTTCGATTTAAATGCAGATTCCGTAAGTTATAGCATAAACAATGAATGCACGCGGTGTATGTTTGGTTGCCTATGAAACAATCGTACATTAATAGACAAATCGTTCATTAATAGGGGTCATTAATGAACGATTTCATATACATTAAACTTAGTCGTTAATACGAGGTCGACGGAAATAGTTATTTAACCAACTAGTGTATTAATGAGGACGATTAATGATCGAGATATTTTAACGTGCGAGCGAAGCGAGTGCGTTAATGTTCGAGATCATTAATTGCCTTTTAATATACAAGTTGGTTACAAAATTTTTCCATCGACTATGTTTCTCATTTCTCCTGCAATGAAGAAAACTTGGTTCGCGAATTCATCATCCATCCGGAAACTGCTAAGAATCACCCAGTAGCCTTGTTACTGACATTAGTGTCATTTGACATTTGTCGAAATGATCAACATAGGAAATAAATTCCTTCTGTGAGAAAACAGGGATTAAAATCGTGTCAGAAACTTGGAAAGGCGAACCCGTTAACGGAAAATCGTCGATGAAATCGACAATCGTGCATTAATAGACAAATCGTCCATTAATAGGGGTCATTAATGAACAATTTCATATACATTAAACTTAGTCGTTAATATGAGGTCGACGGAAAAATAGTTTTTCACAATTATTATTTTATTTATCAATAATTAAAGCATGCCATCACATTGTGCTGTAGTACAATGTAGGTACAAGGCACAAAAATGTAGTGAGAGACGCAGGAATCTCATTTTTCAGGTAGGTTAGTCTCTTTGACAATGTGATCAAGTACTGAGACTACTGAGAGTCTAGCCATAGCACCATGGCGAGGTAATATTGCGCAAAGCGCGTGGCTCACTGCTCGCTGGGCGCGAGAACTTGCACATAAAATAAATATGAATATGAGCCTTGATTATATTATGTGAGATGTTTATAAGTTATTATATGAGTATGAATATTGAAATCACAGTATATTATCCAGTTGATACCATGACACCACATACAGTCGTATTCAAAATAAAAGCGTCATCCTATTTGCGTAAAACTGGCAATTGGGAATGAATGTTCATTAAATGTTGACAGTAGAGTAATCATAGGTTCTCATAAACACAAAGCATTTTTACACAACGAGAACTAGAATGCCGAAATCTATGTTCAATACGTGTACGCTTTCTTATTGAATACGACTGTACATCCATCTATCGAAGAGGCCCTATCAATCAGAAGTTTCACAGGGTGATCCCTGGAATCATGACACACCACGACAAATCGAATTATTCAGATAGAACACTCTACTTTTCATAATAATAAGGATATAATTATGTAGGTTTGTAGGTACATAAAATCACTCGATCACTCCATATATCCCTTAGATATATCCTAATTATATATACATATAAGGTATAAACTTTTACGTCTTTGAAGAATATTGAATCGCACAACTTTGAACACTGATGTGAAGATATATAATTCCACGAAAATTCCTCATTCCCTTGCAAAAATAAAATCAGCGATCAGAACGTTATTAATTATTTCTCGTTATAGTTTTCAACAACGAAGAGAACTTGGGTGGATTTCTAAGAGTCTGGAGGAAATGTGACGTTCAACCTCCAATATCTGGAAAATGGTAAAAGATACACGCAGTTAAGTATTTATATAAGGTATATTATTTGGAAAACAAAAACAATTATGGCAATGAAATTTCGAACGGAAAAAGAAACAACTGAATTCTGATAAACTAAGTTACGGAAGCGGTCAAAAATGAACGAGAAGATTCCTGTAGTGCAAACAGGGTGATTTATACACGGTGAGGACACACATTAGAAGTTTCTGGTGAAATAACGAACATCGAATCACTTTGAAAATTTGATAAATAGTATAAACTGACGTTATCTGAATGACAAAAATATATTTCAGATGACGCGGTGTTGCCACTATATACTATTAGAAAGTAGTAGCAACTTTGATATTTTGAATGGAACACCCTGTATTTCATTGCATTTTCAGATTCTCCCTGCAGAGCTGATTTCATCCCTTGGGTTCAAGCGGGATAATAACTACGGAGATGGTGTTCAAAATCGAGATTTATTTTCAACTAGGTATAGGAGTTCTTGTATGGAAACAATTCAATATTGGTTAAATCGGCTTACATGTTCTTATCTCAACTCTTGATTTACTACTGGCATTTAATTGGAACAAATACGGGGTGATCAAAATTCTGAATCTTTATAACCACCTCGTAGAGTATAGTTCGAATTAAAAAAGTCATTGGATAGTGAATAAAGAGTTAAGATAGGAACAAAGTGAGCCATTTTGACCAATAATGAATTGATTCGACACAAAAAAATCCTACAGTTGAAAAATCTCGATTTTGATAGATCCCAAGTGTGCATTGATGAAATCAGTTTCTCAGATGGAATCATAAAATGCAATGAAATACAGGTTGTCCCGTTTGGAATATCAGTTGCTACTACTTTCCAATAGAAGTGGCAATACCGCATCGTTGAAAATATTCTAGTTGGACAGAGAAATGTCCGAATATAAATCTTCATCAAAATTTCAAAGTGATCCGATGTCTGTTTCACCAGGAACGTCTAATGTGCCCTCACCGTGAATCACCCTGTATATAATCAAAATTATAATTTCCAGTTCAGAATCAAATTCCATGCAATTGTCTTCGATTCTCCTGCATCGGGTTTCGAAATTTTCCTTTCTGAAGTTTTTTTCTTCTTTTTCGTTGAAAAAAGTCGTCTTTGCGGCAAAATCCATTAAGGTTGACCATGTCGCTTCAGGAGTAGATATGGAAAATTGATGACGTTCTCTTTTTCATCAAAAGTTTTTTTTCTCAATATTAGTTGATATATTGAAGGGAATAGAAAACTAGCTAGTATGGCAGAGCTATATTCTTTTATATTCTTGAGACATACTCCATAAATTCAGAGTCAAATTATTATATGACTAAAACTGATTTTTAATATTTACTATACTGAGTACTAATATTTATGAAGCATTGTCCCATCAGTGGGACCTACTTCTGTCTCTATGTGACGATGAGATTTCCACAAGATATTTTGAGTAAATCTCATCGTTTGTGAAGTTTCTACATTTGCTATGGATTTCCATCAAGTAACGGCCGAGTCAATTCAAAAATTCAAGCCGAAGTCGTGATTCGAATAAGGAGACTGACGAAACAAAAAGTAAGAAGAACAAAAAATGGATGGATGTCCTTACCAGACAAGAGGCCAATAAATATTAATAAAACTAAGAAGGAGAACAAGAAAAAGAAGAAGAAACATCTTAACCTAACCAAATTACCGAAAAACCAATCTCCTATTTTTACAAAATTATTTCATAGAATATGTTTAGATTGTATTGTAAGTGTAGTGTGTACAAAAATCAAATATCTGCAGTGAGATTCGTTGTGAGAAGAGGAAAGTGTTCAAAAATTAGCAAATTGAGAGGTAAATTCCTAAAATTTCTTTCCAACTTGCTTCTGTGTTTCTGTTTACTTATTTAGTTTTATTCTTTTTTGATAGATGGGGCAATACCAATTTCAAACATTTGAACTTTACAGGGTGTTTCAGTATGAAATTTTTATAATAATTGAATTTAGAAGAAGATAAATACAAGTCTGGTCAAACTTCAAGGGGTGATAATTTGAGTGATCCTAATGAGAGGAAAAGTTAATGTAAACATAGGTCCAGAAATGCTTCATTTCAAGATACAGGGTGTTGAAGTTAGAAGTTTCAATAAATAATTGTGTTTTTATTATTTACTCAAAATAATAATAATGTTTTTCAATTTTAATGAAACTTGGTGATTTTGTTAACAGTATCAACCAAGCAGCTTCTTTTGGTGTGATTAGATTTGAAATTTTTTTCCAAGTTCAATATTTTTATCAGATCAAACAATTGATAATACAACTTTCTTATTATTGTGCCCTTGACTGTCACTTATTAAATTTTTGAATATCACTTACCCCATGACATTAGTTTCTGAGGAAATAATGAATTCATTATAATTTATTGTCTCCAAAGGAGTCTTCCAATTTTAATGTAGGCATTGGCCTCAAATCACCCATTGGTATTACCCAATATAACCTCACAGGGTACCTATATATTCATGAAAAACAACAATGAATACTATTAAATTTCAACACCCTGTATTTTGCAAATGAAGCATTTCAGGACCTATGTATGTGTGAACATTCTGTATTAGAATCACCCAACTAATCACCCCTAGAAGTTTGGCCAGATACTTATATGACACTCTGTATTCAGGGTGTCCTCAAACGCCTTGTTAAATGATGCAATCCAGTACAACAAGAACTCAACTTTCTATGCCCAATGCAGTGAAAACGATATCATTTCAAAATTTCATTCAGGAGTGTTCAATACAGGGTGGTACTACATTAAATATTGCTCAAAACTTTTTTGTATGCATATTTTTTGACAATTTAATCTCCGATTATGAAAATCGATCAGATATATAATTTTCTAGTGGAATCGATTTAAAAATATTGCTACACCCACATCTTTTGCATAAGTTTGCGAATTTTCAAATCATACATGAAATTTGGCTGCCAACAGCAGATTCTTGGAACAAAAATAAGAAAAAAAGTTTCTATAAACTTTGGTTGAAAAATGCTTCATTAGGGCGAGCTACAGTCCCTGAAGATGGTCTGTGAAACACCCTAGAATTTTATAATTTTGCAAAAATCTCCAAAAAAATGCAGAAAAATTTTGCTTTAGCTTTTATACCCTACCTTTCCCCAAGTAACCCTACTTAAGGGTAAACTCTTTTAATAATTTTGCCCCGTCCTATTGAGCATGAAATATTCTGAGTATGTGCAAAATTTCATTTGCTGCTGTAGCTCCCTTATGAAGCATTGATGGATCCAAATTTACTCGCAAATTTATAGGATCTTTTTATTATTATTTTTGATCAACGAATCTGTAGTTGAAGTATGGTAGGCTTAATTTCCAGTATATGATTTGAAAATTGGCAACGCTATGCATAAGATGTGGGTGTAACAATTTTAAATCGATTCCACTTGAAAAAGATACATCTGATCAATGCGGAACAAGAACACCTTCTTTCTATAAAACGGTGTGAATTTTCATAATCCCAGATCAAATTGTGGAAAAATATGCATACAAAAAAGTTTCAGCAATATTCAATGTAGTCCCAACCTATATTAAACACTCCTGGAAAATTTGAAATTATGTCATTTTCATTGTGCATAGAAAGTTCAGTTTTTGTATCGGATTGCATCATTTTATCACATCGCTTTTCGAAAATATTCAGTAAATATCATCTTCTGGAGTACCCTTTAAGGAGGTCATAACTCCCTTAAGAGCCATTTTTCTACTTTTGTTTTTTGAAACTTTTCTTCCTATTTTTGGTCTAAGAATCTGTTACTGAAGTATGGAAGGCTAATTTCGGGACACTCTGTATACAGAGGATGTCCACTAATTAATAGTACACATAACTCAAAGTTTCCATTTCGTTTTTTCTCAATTTGAATTGAGTTGAGATGTTATAACTGTATTTATGTGAACACTGCTTAAATATGAAATCTGCAAGAAAAATTCTAAAGAACCATACCTTCCAAGAACAATATAAAAGTTAAATTGATTCAAAATATACATGAAGGCCCTGTTATGTACCAAACAACTATTTTCCGGAAAGAATAATAAAGAGAATAATAAGAGGGCAAATAAGCGAAAGTTTTGGTGGAGATTTCTCATCGAGTACTTATACAGGGTGTTTCAAATTCGATCATCACCATTGGGATCTCGGAAATCATAAGATATAAAAAGATGGCTAAACTAACAATACCTATGCCGTTTAAAAAGTTTAGGAATTGCATAAGAGTGTCCGGAGATATACGGAAAAACTGAAATTTTCGAAAATTGGTTTTATTGTTTTCTGGCTTTATTTCTTGTAGGATTCCAAAATGAATAGCCTCGTGAATCGCACGTTTGTATTGTCATTTTTTTCTACTACATGATGGTGCTTTCAGATTTGATAACCGACGTTTCGATACCGACAAAGACCTATCGATAAAGAGTTAATATATTCATCACAAAGATAATCCGAATTCTCAATATAATTTTGTATATACAGGGTTATCCACGGTGGATGGCCTATTAGAAGTATCTGGAGAACGAAAAGACAGAACATTCTGAAAATTAAGATGTTTCGATAATTGAACATTCTCTATCCGTTGCCACTTCTATCAGAAACAACTAGCAACTTTGTTATTTCAAATGGAATTTTTCTACCACCTATTCAACTTGTTGTGAGTTGAATAGGTGGTGGAAAAATTCCACTCAAGTATGTCAGGTAGTGCCATCTGTCAGCAGAGTGATTTACTTGTAGTACCACTCTGTAGCGTATAGACGTAGGGGTCTGTACGTGTGACTATAGATGGCAGCGCCATTTAGTGTATGTCGCGATATCTCTGTATCCTACCTCAGAGCTTTGCCACAAGATGGCTACAACATGACTACAACTTCATGTTATACCCTGCGTCTTCGAAATGGGTGATATACCCGAAGCGTAGAGTTGTCCCAGTTGTCAGCAGACCGAGAGCGGCTGATGAGACGTGGTGGGTCGAAACAGTACTGTCTCGCTCCTGCTGACAATTGGGGCAACTCTGTTCATCCTAGATCTCTTAGTTATGAGATTTAGCAGTTAAATATTGTGATGACATATTGCTTGTTATCTACGTTTGATATAACATGATTTAAGAAGTCCATAGTGTCATTCTGTGTCGTTGACTGGTTTTGAAATCCATAGTGATAACCGAGCTGATATTATCTAGTACAACATATTTAGCTAAGAAGCAACTTTCTGTTTTTAATAATAATTTCTAATAATTTCGAGATTGCACATTCCACAGTTATGGGACGATACTTTTCTATTTTATTTTTTGAACATTTCATTGAGAAATATGACTAAGATTGGTACGAGAGAGTTACCCTCGGAGTTACCACTGATGTAATGCGTGGAACAGGTCACGAAATGCCATTTCTGAAATAACATGAAATGCTTTGACACCCTCGAAATGCTTTGAAGTTCCTCGAAATGCCATGAAATGACTTAAAATCCTTTGGAATTTTTGAAATGCTATTTCTGAAACAGCATGAAATACTTTGAAATTCCTTGAAATGCCATGAAATTCTACGAAATGCTAGGAAATACCTTGGAATGCCATGAAGTGCCTTCAAATGCCTCACAATGCTCCGAAATATTTTGAAATGCCATTGTGTTATTGTAGTGAAATGTCACGAAATGGCTTGGAATGCATTTGAATGGCTTGAAATGTAATGAAATGTTAGAATCAAATGCTACAGATACTCCCAATCACGTATGGAAATGGATGAAATGCATTTCGAATGGATGAAATGCACTTCGTAAATGAATGAAATACATGCAATTCTTCCGAAATGGATGAAAAACTTGCGAAATGGATGAAATGCTTACGAAATGCATGAAATGCGAAAATCCTTGGAACACTTTTTTACTAAGTAGTGATAACCCCCTCGGATTGGTATAATTAGTTATTGAATTAAAAGTGAGTTTTTTACAGTTTTATCGTCTTGACCTGGAGCAGTAGTTTTATTCATTTCATTCAAGGCTTCCTTTATTTCATTTGAATTTGAGTCATGCAGATATAATGAATTCTTGATAGTAATTTCTTTGGAGATAGGTGAATGTGGTGTATTTTCTATATAAACGTTAATGTCGACAACAATTGATTGACCAACATCAGTAAAATATGAATTGAATGTGGTATCGATTTCAGTCTCATCAGTTAGAACCCATATAACACCAGTACGTCTCTAAAACGTACTGAGAACGTCCGGCGAAAACGTTTCGTAAGTACTAGGGACGTCCAGATTAGGACCGTAGACGTACTAGGTATATACTGGGGGCGTCCAGAATCGACGTAAATTCGCCTTTTTCTACTCAGATAGTTGAGAGATCTATAAAGAAATCATATTATTTTGAAAAAAAAATAAAAAAAGAGACGCTTCTAACGGGGATCGATCCCAGGACCTTTAGCTCTACCTATAACTTTACAAAACACTCATCAATATATCAGTGTACAACAAGAGATTATGTGCGAATGTCAATTGACTCTTCACATTGATACTTCCATAGAATCAGATTATCCCGGCAGAGAATACCTAAATAGATGTTTTGTGATTAGGTACGGCCGTTAAAAAATGAATTATGAGAATTGTATTATGTTCATGTTCGCAAGGTTCCTACATGAATAGATATCAGAGATCGAGAATAGAAATCATATGCAATGATTTCAATTATCATTATACAATTTATTCAATCCCGTCCATAGAGTTGGACGTACTCAGTACATCGGAATCGTACGTACCCAGTACGTCTAAAAATGAACATTTTCAGAACATCTTGAAAATGTCCCAGACGTTTAGGCCTAAATCGGACCTAAAATGAACATCCCAGAACGTCGAGTGCTATATGGGAAGTGTATCATCTATCTTGATCGTCTTTATTTCTGAATGTATATTTTCTCTTTCAACTATGCTATTAATGAACTGATTTTTTGAATTATTGCCTGCTGCGTTCCATCTGGAACTGATAAAATTTCTTTTTAATTTTCCTTTTCCATTATCAACTTGATTTTTTGCGCTTATGAAATCTACATTTCAATCTGTACAATTTATCTCCTTTTTCAGCAATTCTATAAATTCCGGAGTTATCCATTCATTATTTTCTCTCATTCTAATATTAATTTCCTTTGTGGACAGACTTTTTGCTTGCTGTAGACTTATATTAATTTTTCAAATGAATTTGTATTGAATAGTTTTTAGTGGTTATTCTTTCAAAATGTCAAAATAATTCATGTGTTTAGACTGATTAATTTTGTTGTATGTTTTTTGTTTCTTGTAATGTTTGATCCTATAACCTTAGTATACAATTCTATATCCAATAAGTTTTGATCTGACAGTGCACTACAATCAATTTCTATCCCACAGTTTGCTATACTCCTTGTGGATAGTACATGATCAATAATAGACTGTGATGTGTTCCTTGTTATATACTCCTTACCTACCATGTTTATTATTCCAAAACCATTCAGCTTTATACAATTTCTATATAGTCTCTTTTTTCTGCTATCTTCAATAATGGGTCTATGTTGAAATCACCAATTATAAGTGTTCTTTTATCATTTTCTTGTTGTAGTATTCCATCCACTTTTTCAAGAAATTTTAATTTATCATACAGTGCTATCAGTTTCGTTTCATTCGAACGTTTTTGTTTCATAGTGTTTCATTGAACCTGTCAAAGTCTGCCATGCACATTGAAGAGCAGTTCTTATGGTGTTTTGTCTGATCTTTCTGAATCTGATGAAATTTTCTGATAAAAGTGATCACAAAGTGAACTTTTTTGACATAACAATAAAACATGAATTTTCCCAAGTCTGGACCTGGATGTTTTGCCAAATTTCAACAAATTAGGATGAATCATTTTTGAAATATCGCTCATCAAAGTTCTATGGCAATTTCACATATTACCCTATATCTTCTTTATAGATGGCTTAACTCTTCTATCTCCCCCCCTCCTTTATATTCTGTCATGAAAATGGTTGTGGTCACGTGAACTAGTGTCTAGTGGACACGATCAACTTTTTTTTCCGAATGTAAAGTGGGGTCACGCGGTACCTTGTTTTGAAGGAATTTCGATTGTCTATCCAACAACTTTCCGTTTGTTCAAATCGGCCAAGCCGTTTCATACGGACAAGCGTTTGAAACTTCCTTCAAATATTGATATTGATTAATAAAAAACCTGAATAACTTTTAATTGCAAAAAAAAATTCAAGTAACAATAATTGTAACATGTGCTCACAAATGCTCGAAATGTTCATCGTTCACTTATTGTCACGAAATAATCGGTTTTGGAGTTCAATCCGAATTATTTTCCTTCTGAGGTCAATTTCAAACGCTTGTCATTTTGAAACGGCTTGGCCGATTTGCACACACGAAGCGGTATTGGAAAGAGAATCGAAAGGTACCACGGGACACTGGGTCTCGTGACCACAACTATTTTCATGTCGAAAAGTACATGAATTTTATCCGACCTCGCTTGCTTGACCCATTCAAAAGTTGAAGGGAAGAGGGGTGGGAAGGACTTTTTACGTCCTCAAGTTCAAGTTTGAGTTTATTGTCAGTTTTATTATACAAAATTATTTCATATTACCTTGTTCATTTCACAACCCTTTGTGGAGAGATGAATACACCTGAGCAATTCATTTGCTTGTGTTGTGCCCATCCCCCACGAAATTAGGAGATTTAGAAAAATTACACTCAGGTCACCCCACAATTTACACCAATTTCACGACCAATATAATATATTGGTATATGCATTATATACCTTAAACACACATACACACCCTCCCTCACATACATATGCATATCCATATGCAGCTACGTTCAATTAAATATATTGAACCTTTCATAATTGAGCCTAATGAAGTTTTTGATTGTTTGTTTGAATTGATTGATGTTGCTAATATTTATTACGTTTACTGGTGACAGATTGAATAATTTAGGACCATGATAGAAGATACGTCTCTGTGTGCGGCTTTTCTTGAATCTAGTTTGTATTCCTTTATATGTAGATTGAAGAGAATATTTGTTTATGTAAACCCAAGTTGAACACTGATATATATATATATAAATTTCCCTCAATGTATCATCAATGTATAATAGGTTAACAACTCTGATGCGTTTCATTATTTCAGTTTCAGAACTTGACTCCGGTTATGTACCACATAAAGTAGAAGAAGAATTTGGCATAGCAGACGATTACTTCAAACCACCACTTCAACATGCAAAACCATTCACCATTGTCTTACCACCACCTAATATCACAGGTACATTACACCTAGGTCATGCGCTTACAGCTACTATAGAAGATGTATTAACGAGATGGTGAGTATTATATTCAGGCATTGTTGCCATTGATGAAATATAAGATATAATGAGCAAATTCAAACAAGATGTTTGCAACAAAAGAGGTTTGAAAACCAGCATTAACGCGGTTCACTAATACCTGCAATCTAATAAGCCGTACATACATATCATATCAGAGACACAGGTTATTTCTACTACTAACTGTGTTCGCATTTTGTATTCCGGATATGATTTCCACACCCGATTTCTTTGAAAAAGCCCAAAAATTTTAACCATTTTAACAAATCACCAAGATTCAAATTCAATGGCATTAAACTTCATCGAATTGGCATCAGATTTGACAGAAACACCTGTGTTCCAAATAGGCAGATGAGTTCTAGCCGCATTCTACGGCACCTGAAAATTATAGACAAATACACATTTTACCAACATTTTCCAAAGTAATGGAAGAGACGATTAATTTTGATGAAATTCAGTGACTTTATGGAAAAACTTAATTTGTTTAATGATCATCAATTTGGATTCAGAAAAAAGATTAGTACCATAGATGCCTTGAACAAATTAGCAAACAACATTCTAGAAGCTTTGGAAAATAAACATTCATGTCTAACAATATTTACTGACCTGTCAAATGCTTTTGATTGTGCCAATCATGATAGAACTACTGCAGAAATCAAAACGGTATGTGAGAGAAAACATCATTCAGTCCTACCTCGAGAATATAACTGTTCACAACAATCATATCATGAGTCAGGAACGTGTTATCAATAAAGGACCTACCCTCACATATGTTGTTGAAACGTGAATCGTTGACCATATTATATGCTGATGATATTGATATGATGCTTTTATCTTAATTTGAAATTAATTACTGATATTTATGAGATTTCAGCAGGTTTCACCGCTCATGCAAAAGAATGGTTTGAACACAATGAGTTATTTTTGGAATTATTTTTGAAATCCCAATTTATCGATTCGGTGAAAAATTTTGTTTATCAAAAGTCGACCGTGGCTAACAAAACCACCGATTTTTTTGTGATAGGGGGAAACAAGAAATTCGAGAATTGGGTAATAAATTAGCCCAAAATGAGCCTGGAATTTTGTGTAGAATCTCATTCGTCAGTGATGGCTTTGCTGGCTTCTTCAGTATCAGTTCTTCTTAGAAGCGAATAGCGAGTGGTTCTGCTAGCTTCATATACACCTAGCTGAATCATGGACTTCTTGTTCAGTTCTAGCAAGGGTAATTTTTTTGTTCTCAAGTAATTTCACGAAGAATATACTTTTCAGAAAGAAGGTTCATTTGGGCCAAGTTAGGTTAGATTGATCTTGAAGAGGAAACCCACATGTCATTTCCACAAGTCTTCAATAAATGACCAACAATATTGAATAACATACTCCCTCCTTAGGTTAGATTTTTTAGAAAAAGTAGTCTCCTTTATTATATGCAGAAAACAAGGTGAGGCATCACAAGTCTGTTAATTAGGATGATCAGAGAAATTTCTTCTCTTCGGATGTCTGCTTCAATAACAGTGATCCTTCCATTTTAATCTAGGATAATGAGTAAGGTCGACTTTCACTCATCTGCTTACCAGATGTCACTGACTTGCTTGCCAAATGAACGAAATTCCGAGAAAAATCATACAACATAATATAGAATATGGAACAGCCTAGGTTGACACCCATTTTCTGGTCACTATTACCGGGTTGCCGTGTCCAAACAGGTAAGATTGCACTCATATGATTACCACTTGTAAAATATATCAAAATGGAGGCAATTTAATAACGAATACCATAGGGTTGCTTTTCCAAATCCATCCATGATTAACAGGCTTTCAAATTGAAAAATCGGAGCAAACAACGATGCATGACAAAGAAGCATTGCGCGTACTATTTGATGCGATAGAGATGCACGACGGAGCCGAAGAATGTAAGAGAGTGCGGATGCTTTCTACCACTGTATAAGTACTCATGGTCAAAGTTTATGTGAACTTTGTCATGGTTTTAAAGAGGATCAAACTAAATGGTATTGACAAACGTTTGGGAGCAAACAGTCCGTTTGTGAATACGTGTTTTGTGGAAATATTAAAAATGGAAAAAAGTGTTTTTTATGCAAATTGTAATTTTGTGATATTGTGATTTTGATGAAAAATCAATTGGGGATTATTTTCTGGAGTTGGCGTACCGATAATCTTAAGACTGAGTATAGTGAGGTGCAGTTGAACAAAGATATTATTGACTTTGTAGGTTATCACTCCTCGTGTTATGAAAAATAAGTGACTGTCTTAGAAAAAATGAACAATGAAGTTTTCAATGAATTGGTTAAAAATATTGAAGTGCGAAGTAGATAATCAATTGCATATTTGATTGCTAATATTAAAATTTTATCATTATATTATTTATCAGAAGTTTATCTGTGATTTAAATAAAGTATATCTAGAAAAGTAAATTCAAATTTCAAAAGCTAGTATTTTCAAAAAGTAGAAGTTCATAAAAATTGCATGCCCTACTATTTTTATATATACTTTTTCGAACAATGTCTTCTTTTTCTTTCTGTTCTAATTTCTGTTTGATTTAAGGACTTTTCTTGCTGTATCATTGTTTAACCAAAGTTTTTCGATTCAAGTATTTGTTTTTCGACATAAGTGAGTACTAATTTGTAACAATAGTTTTCTAAAAATTTTCCATTAATATCAATCACAGAATCTCTCTTGATTTGCATAAAGAACACTTCTTCGACATTTATAATATTTCCATAAAACACGTGTTCACAAACGGCTGTTTGCTCCCAAACAGCTCAACAGCATTTAGGTTTAACAATTTCTATACTATGAGTAGAAAGCGTGCTCTCCCATTCTTCGGCTCCGTCGTTCACAGCTAGTGTACTGCGTCCTTCTTTATCGCATCAAATATTACCTGCAATGCTTCTGTGGCATACCATAGTTTAAGGAAATCAGATATTATACGGGGTATCGAATCTCTATGGAAATAGATATTCCAAACTGTGGTCATATATCATACAGCTTGGCAACGGATTTTGCAAAGCAACCCAATACTACTATATTCGTTAAAAAATTGCCTTCATTTTGATATATTTTACAAGTGGTAAGCATATGAGTGCAATTATTGTTATCAACTTTCGTTTTTGTACACGGCAACCAGGTAATAGGGACCAGAAAAAGGTAGACAACCTAGCTGTTCCATATATGTTGTATGCTTTTCATTCGAATTTCGTTCATTTGCAAGTCAGTTAAATTTTAAAAACATATTATATTAAATAATGTTTATTTATCATAACCAGGACCATATTTTTATGGCATCCCTGTTGCAACATGTTCAGAAACATAATTTATTTGATAAAATATAATTCTCAACCTGTAAGCAGATGAGTGAAGGGCGACCTTACTTGTGATCCTCAACTGTTTGTACAGAAGCCATCTCAGAAGTAATCATAGTTGGAATGGACCCTTTTTTCCTGTATTCATCATGCTCGTGCTAGAGCTGTTGCCAATAAACACTCATCATTCTGCCTTGGGCGAAAATCCAACAATCAAAAATGGAGTAATCCTTGTTAAATCACGAAACATTTGCAATGACATTATTGGTGAGCGCATATTGGCACAATTAGAGCTCTTAGACTGTCCCAGCGGTACGAGGTATTTTTATTCTGTAGCCAAAGCCGCCTAGAAAAATGTCATAACCTCCTCATTTCTTCCACTGACGTAGGATGACGGTTCCTCTATTGTTGATACTAAAGAAATACCTAGATGATCTATTGATATATTCTGTGCCTTCTTTTCAAGCAATTCTACTCTCGATTCTCTGACAAAAATCGCCCCATATTCACCAATTCTCCCACCTCGATGCCAGAATTCATATTTCGCTCGTATTTCGGCCACGTATATTCCAGGCGGATTATTTCAAATCGGTCGGAGCACACGAAAGAAAACCCTTATGGAGAGGAGGTAGGTATTGCAATTTTTTGAACTTTTGGAGATTATAAGTTCTTGGAAATACTTCCACAGGGAATGAATTTCAGAGCTTTGCCGATCTATAGACAGAAGAGTTTTGATAAAGTGTTTGACAACGAAAGGATGTGCTGACTAGGCTTGTCAAGTTCGTCTGACCGATATTGCTAGTGATGGAATACTTGCGGAGATTTCAGAAGAACGTTTCTCGTGAAAGTATCTAGAGGAAAGTGAAAGGTCACCGACCTTTTAATGTTGTTCCAATGATGTCAGAGAGTGAGTGAGTGTGGAATCACCCACCAGGCGAATGGCTCTTCTCTGGATAGAATCTAAGAGCATCAAGGTATGTTTGGGTGCTGGCCGTATCTGTGCCTTGTAGATCAAGAGAAGCTGTTGAGGTGTCAAGTAGCTTTTCCGACGGAACAAGTATCCGAGTTTTTGTGAAGCAGCTTTTGCGATGGATTTGACATGGTTATCCCATGGAATAGTATTGCTGATGGAAATTCCGAGCATAGATATAGTGGGTTTGGTGCGGATGGTTGCACCAGACATTCTTGAGGGCTTTGTCAACTATTTTCTTTTCCGTTGTTTACAACATTCCTCTCAATAGTCCTTTCACCATGTTTGTAATCCTGGACTCGGATGTGACGTTAGTTTCCCTGAATACTCGGGATGATATGGCCGAAACCACAATTGTGCGGCTGGCTTCTGTTTGTTGCCTCCGTTATTCTGTTGTTTTGGCTTCCACCAAGTATTGCCTATCCTTCGAACTTTTTCAACGTACCGATGAGGGCTAAACGCCTGAAACACGTGTCTACGATTAACTTTTCATGAAGGTTTTGTCCACTATTTTCTTCTTTGTTGTTTACAACATTTCCCTCAATATTCCTATGATCATATTTGTAATCCTAGACTTGGAGATGAGATACAGGCTTGTGTTTTGGTGGCATTGAATCAGACTAGGTCTGTGACTTTAGCAAGATCTTCATTGACAGCATTGACCTGTCTTCGCGGTGATTTCTTAGTTTCCTGGGAAGAAATGGGAATTCTGGAGGGAACGCACTGTGGAGAGTACTATCATCTGAAAAGCTGTGGATAGGTCAAGTTGTTACTCTCAACAGATCATTGATATGAAATAGGAACAATGTGGGTGCCAAAGTTGATCCTCAAGACACACTTGACACCAATATGGCAATTGGCCCGGACAATATTCCAACGACATTCGTCAAATCCGGCGCACTAGAACTAACCCTAATTTTTAGCCAATTTGTCATGTTGAATTACACGTGGAAAGTGGCTCGAGTTCAATTATTTGTAAGGATGAAATGTGAAAATTTGTATTTTTCCTCCTTTAGCTTTAGAGATAAGTGATTGAATTTTGGAATGACCCATCAACTTGATAAACGTAATGACATAAAAATGTTTCATTTTCTACTTCCGGTTTTACCGAAAGTGGTTATAACTTCAGATTTTTCAAATGAAACACCCTGCATATCATGGCATTTTCGAATTCAACATCATTTTCTGAATCTAATGATACCACATAAGTGACATTTCAAACTTCAATATCGATTTTGATTCCGTTTTTGATTATCCATCTGAGTGTGTCATGCCTATTCTGATCAAGTCTGATGTACCGTAGAATGGGAATACTTCGAACTGCGGGGTAAATTGAAACAAAACTTCATATTTTCAAATTACTTCCTGAAATCTACAGCTGATTGCATTTTTAAACATCAGCGATATGACAGAAAAAATAGCTTTACAAGCTTCAAGTCCAAAGACATGATCGATTGAATATACGGCGTTCATTCCATGTACCTTCTGTTTAGTAACCATATCACTAGCGAAATGCCGCGATATCACTGCTCAACGTTGAACAATGTTGCCAATTTTTTTTTCATTACGAAAGTTGTAAAAAATCGCCGAAAACTTGGAACAGACGCAAATGATTGTACTTAACGGTGTGTGACCATAATACCTGATAAGACCTTTCCTCCATCCACCACCCCACAATAAACTGAACCCCTAAACTTCTCACGAACACCACCAGAGTTCATTTCTAACATATTTTTGCTGCATGAGATTTTACTGGTCCCATTTGCTGCTAGGAATAAAATTCAAGAGATTTCTTGTGTTTTTAATGAAACGCATTCATAACAATGCTAGGTATATAGTATACTCATTGAAATAATTCATTTTTTCTACAAACGTCAAACAATGACAAGGTTCGCGCATTGATACCAAATTGCGAAGTGTTACTTTTTTTTTCAGTTTCCTTCGTTGCCATGATACCTTGTAAAACAGTTCGTGAAGTACCTACTTCGCGCATTGTTATGTAAAATATATGAGATATTTATATTTCAACTTTCTGGTCCTCAATCGAGCAAACATCCACGAAATCATTTATTTCTGAACGTTCAAAAATAACTTTGTTTTAACTCTTGGAGTGCACGAAAGGAAATTCCTATTTCGTTCGTGGAACATCGTGCGTACCTAGAGAGGATAGAGGGAAGACTTTCAAGCCAGTTCAACACTATTTTGTCAATCAAATCAAGCATATTTTTACTTTAGAACTACATTTCTTCACGTTTGTAGAAAAAATGTTGTTTGCAACTCGAGCGCGAAATACTTTGGTCATCTCGATTATTTTTTTAAGAATGCCTGGAAAAACAGGGGCATACAAATTTTCAGACGATTTGATCCGTTATTATGATCCCAATTTCAGAAGTTTTTTTGTATGGGGGGGCACATGTTCCATATGAATAAAATGTTCTTATTTCATCTCAACAATACGTCCTTGGAATATTCACATCGAATTTTATGGGATCAAAGTAAAAAAGTATAACATAATTGTAAACAAAATCATATTTGTAGGAATCGAATGCAAGGCATTCAAACTGTATGGGTGCCAGGATTTGATCACGCTGGAATAGCAACTCAAGTAGTAGTTGAAAAGCGCTTGTTGAAGGAATGCCAAAAAACTAGACACGATCTTGGAAGGGAACAATTCCAGAGGAAAGTTTGGGAATGGAAAGAACAAAATGCCCATATCATAGGTAAGTTATATATGAAACACTGAAATGGATACATTTTTTTCATTGGTACCCTGTTATGCTCATTTAAAGGACACCTCAGCGTGTTCAAATCCAACTTTCGAAAATGCACGTTTTTTCAAGTTACCTCTGCAACATCAACGACTAAAGAAACGTGAAGTCTGTCAACGTTTTAAATGTTCTGACAGGAGTACCATTTTAACAAATGTATACCGATATATGAAAATACTAGTATTTATGATCTCAAGTGTACCAATCAAAAAATAGCGTAAAGTATTCTTGGATAACTGGTTTTTAAAACACTTGCTCTATTTCGAGCACTCTGGCTAGACCGTCATGGTTCTCCAAAAATCGGGTGTGTTTTAAAGCCCCTAATATACTTTTATATACTATTTTTTGACAATACTCAATGAAAGAAGTTGATTGAATTCGCTACCTATCTCTACCAGTTTGCCCATTAACATTATGACCAAAGATGCAGTAGGCAAATCGAGTTAATTTATTTTATTACAATTACATAACCCATTGAAACATTGATACATGTCCTCCCAGTGAACTTTCATTGGAATTTCTGGAATTTCCGGGAAAAGAGGCAAAACTGGAAAATTACTTTATTTTGGTTACCTGAGATGAATTATTTGTGAGCTTCAAGTTACCTATGGATCACAACCTTAGATCTGAAACTTCATATTATCACAAGAATTTAATCAACCTTCTGGATGTCTGGCTGTTCAAAGTATCTGACTGGTTATTTAGGATTGATGATATTTAATAATATAGGTAGGGATGTACTTGAGTAAATTGTAACAAAATTATGTCAAAGAAATGCATAGCATTTGATTGATAGGTTAATGGTCCATTGTGATTTCATTTATGACTTTTATGACATTCAGATATCTTTTCATTGATTTCCCATTGTCGTAAAAATAATATGCAATATGTACACATGTATTCAGTAAACATGTCGCGGTTGGATGCTTTTAGCGCTCTAAATCACCGCAGCAATAAGAGCGATTACACCGTCCAACTACGACATTTTTTCTGAAAACGAGTGTACCAGCACAAGTACCAGCACACAGTCGTATGCCATCGATTAAATCAATGAACCATTGAATTGCCTGCTGTCACGTATTTGCTGGGAATTAGATTTGAGACATTCAGAGACAGATCATATGCACCCATAAGAAGATACACTATTCAAATGCGAAAAAAATCGGAACTGTCTAATCATAACTAAAAGGGTCTATACTTCACGTGTACGTTTGACAGATCGATACCCTAGAGGTAAAACCACCAGTAGCTTGGATACCTATAATTAATCTTGACATTTTCATATATCATAGTCATTGGAGAGATGACCAATGATATATCTAGAAAAACAATTATCATTTTTCACATCTTTTATCCTCACAAACTTGTATGAAAAATTATCAACGCTGCATAGTTTCTGTTGAAGATACAACTTTTGTCAGTGTAAACTGATTGCGTTGCTGGCTCAGAGAAAAGCTGCACTCATATAACTGCAGTTTCATTGTGTAAAGATGACACTTTATTATTTAAATAAAAGCCTACAGGTGTGAAAGAATATTGGACGTTTCCAACAAATAAGTCAGCTGAGCCCTATCGATAGTGTCGTTGAAGGTGAATGCCAGATAATTGAAACTATCAGAACATAAATTTATTTTGAGGAGACTATGTTATCTTTGATTAAATATTAATTTTTCAATTTCTATACATTGTATTGATGAGTTGAAATTTAGTTTTCCAGCCGTGAATAAAAACTTATTGCTAACAGGCATTCCATACATTATTCAATAATTCTGCTTATCTGAATGAACAGGACGGATGTAATTCATGCTCTACTTTCTGTGAGAAAAGTTACTATAGTGCTATGCATTTGCTCATATTGAGAGTAATGAAATATGCAGAAAAAAATCTTTTGATATTCTCAATGATAACATCATTAAGAAGCCCACCCATGAACTAACTGGAAGTATAGGTACTTACAATTCAATTCATTTCAGAGGAATAACACCTGATATTCCATTCAATACATACAACAAAATCTTAATAGGTACATCTCATAATTATTTGTTTCAAGTGATGTAGGCACCCATACTATATTGGGATGTGTACATAGATTAATGATAAATCGAAGACCGCAGTAACAAATTATATTTGGTGACCCCGACGTGATTTGCGATCTTATAGTCGTAACATATGGGAAAAAAGTTTATTATTAGGGTATCGTAATTTTTGTTCTCGGGGATGTCAACTTATAGGCTAGCCTCATGATAGTTTTGCCTTTTATTAGTCCTTAGTTTCCCACCATGGATTTATTCACCCTATGTACATCATAATGAAGCATAACATTTTATTTTTGTTCACAATTTCTGCAACAACCACTTCCACATTCTCGACATAGATGTGATGTTTTTTTCAGAAAATATACAGGGTATGTCACGTACACTATCTCCATATCGAGCATCAGAAAATTAGTAACCACTTTGATTTTTCAAATAGAATACCCTGAATTTCATTGCATTTCTATATTATCCCTGAAGAGCTGATTTCATCGATATATCAGATCAGAATTCTGAATCTTGAACCACCCTGTATCTGTTTCGATTAAATATCAGTGAAAAGTGAATCAAAAGTTGAGATAGGGACATGTGAGCCGTTTTGACCGATAATGAATAGTTTCGACACAAACAAATCCTAAAGTTGAAAAATCTCGATTTTGTACACCCTATATCTCTGTGATCTTTTTCGATAGACCCCAAGTGTGATATATCAATAAAATCAGCAAGAATGCGATAAAATACAGGGTGTTTCTAGTAGAAGCGGCAACACTGCATTGTCGAAAATATTTTAAATGAAGAGAGCGTATTCTGGAATATAAGCATGCACATTTTCATGGATTTCTCCCGACTGATCGATATGAAGATTTTCGCAGTCAATTTTCCTTCTCTACAAGAAGCCATCAGATTTTTGTTCCGACGTTTTGTTTCCTCGTAACCATCATCGAATGACAATGATAATGATTTTTCGGTCCGAAACGTAGGATGATTGTAAAGTCTTATATGTCGTTTGATTCAGAATTGGAATTAGAGTTTTTTTAGGAACGAAAAATTTTTTTCGACCATTTCAAAAAACAAAGTTGATAATAGCTCCTCAAGACGAAACATCGGATCACTCCAAATGAAGTCAGAAAAAATTAAAAAGAAATCGCGGATATTCGGGTTTTTTCAAATATCTTCAGAAGTTTTCGGAATTTCCAAACTTTTGAGGCGGCATTTTGATCAGCAGCAAATTGCGCAACTTTGACATGATTTAACAAACCCCAAAATCTCTTACGGTTTACGAGCTCCCAATGATGATCCTCGAATTTCAGCCACCCTGTACAGGAACATAATTTCTCACTTATTGAGAATATGATTATGTTCCAGTAGTCAATTGTTGAACCCAGAAATTTAATTTGTCACTGACTATCGATACATTTTTTCTCTTATATTCCTAATGGTGAAATTTCAGGCGCAGTGACATTTTCGGGCAAATCATCTGATTCGTCCTCAAGAAAATTCCAAAAATCTATAGAAATGTATTCAACTTATTACAAAGAGGAAAAATTCAATCTAATCTCTTCTGTCCCTGCAAGTACTTGCTATGTCCTTGAACATGATAGAGGTTAGAGATTCTGTTTCGTGTGATACCAAAACAAGAAAAAATATTCGATAATTTTTGACTCGTATGAAATAAACAAGAATTGATGTTAGTGGAAATGGAACCAGAGTTGATGTGGTGGAATACATGCAGTATTATCGTTTCAGGTGATCAATTACGACGTCTTGGAGTTTCACTTAATTGGGAAAGAGAAATGTTCACAATGGATGAAAAACGTTCGATAGCTGTTCAGGAAGCTTTTATAAAACTCTTCGAATCAGGTTTGATCTATCGGTGAGTTATTCTAGCTCTAGTACTAGTTCATATTAGGTTATCTGAACTATTTTCCATTTCGTATTTTCAATATGGTGCCTCAGGATGGATATGGCCAGAAAATATTTGGTTTCTGAAATACTGCCGACATTGTTTCAAAAGCCAAAAAGGATGTTACAGTAAAACTCCTATAAGATGGTATCCTGATATTCATCTTGCATTCAATTATTTACTTACTGTTTATAGTTATTAAAGACAAGGCCGATATGTATGTTATTTGCGTATCGGTCGTGTTTCGTTCAAGACATTTCGTTATACCGGTGGAAGATTATACATTCGGATTCCGAGGAAAGAACAAACCACGTACCTCGTAATTCTTCAGGAAATCCCAACATCGCGTTGTCATGGAACAGCTTAACGATATCACAATAATATTATTACGGCTGCCAGCCGTTAAACAATCTTAACAGACGGAGCCTGTTAAAATTGACGTTTCAGTTGACATCTGAATACCGTTAAATCGCAATAACAGGATGGAATTACGAAAAATGTATATAACTACCGGTCGCGTTCGGGGTTTGTGGAGCCTAGGACAAACTCTTTTCGCGTTCGTTTTCCTCTTCAGAATCGTCCTGGGACGGTCCTAGAACTATCATAAAGCAGTACCTGCTCTCGAGCGTCAACTGTTCTGGGATTATTTTTGGCGCATGCTGATTTCATTTTGTTTTCGATTCTTTGTGTGGTAACGTAATGTCATATGATATATTTTTGTTAATTCTACTGTTTATTGCACTTGAATATTTTCTCAATATTATGGAATTTGTAAATTTATTTGATAATATTAGTTCTTCGCCAGGAAGCAGTGGTGAAGGAGTTCCTTGATGAAGTTGCTGAAAATATTGTAACTAATTTGATAATTCCCGAACTTTCCTTAGATATACCGAAGGATTATGTTGAGGAGACTTTGCCATTATATTCAGATACACAATTTCAGGTGGGTGTCAAAATCCATGTAGGAACAAAGGACAACATGTTGAAAATCTAGTTACAAACGCTATGATGGAATATATTCACCATTCCTCCACAAAGGGTTTCATGAGATATTGTGAATAGACACAAAGGAAAGTTTAAAGCTTCAGAATATTATTCCAATAGATGCAGGTTTCAAACTATTGTTTTTTTCGCAAAGTCGTGATAGAGGTTATGTTCTCAGAGGGTCTCTCCTGCCGCGTTCGGGTTTTCATTATATGTGAACCGTTCTGAAACAGGATTCGAAACGACTGCGCACTAGTTCTGCACAGTTCGGGAACGATTCTTGAATAGTTCTGAAATCGGAATTTGAATGAACCTTATACATGGCGACCCGATATAATATATATATATATAATTCTTTTTTGTAATCCCATACTATTATTTTGATTTAATGGAATTCAGATGACAATTGAAAAGTAAATGTTCCGTTCGTTAAGATTGTTTAACAGTCGAAAGCCGTTAACTGTTCCATAACAACATGATGTTGGGAATTTTCTGTAGAATTACGAGGTACGTGGTTTGCTCTTTCCTCGGAATCAAAATGTAATCTTGCAGCGGGGTTACGAAAAGTTTCGAACGGCACACGGCCGATACGCAAATAACGGATTCGGTTGTTCTAATATTCATTCTCATCAGTTATATGCTACATATCGGCCTTGTAGCGTTAATAACTATTATTTCTCTATAGAATAAAAAATAAATAGCCTCACAAGGGATTTTTATACATACGAATTTCACGTATGCTACAGTAGGCCCATCGAAAACGTTCCACCTAATTTTTCTCCGTTGTGATGCAATTTATGAAAAACTACTCAGACAGGTCGATTTGGATTTGGCGAGGCAAACATTTTTTCTGTAATTATCGTATCCCAAAGTTGAAACCTTGAAGCAGAACGGGCATCAACTTTCGATTTTCAAATGAAACACCCTGTAATTCATTCCATGATTGGTTAGTGATTACGATTACAAATCCAACGATTCAAAGTTTGATAATTTCTCAAACGGTTAACGAGAAATAACTGATTGATTTTTCAACATGTTCCATGAGTGGGTTGAGTCGGATCGAACCGGTAACTTCGCCAGTAGAAATTTCTTGGACAATTTCAAAGAATGTCCATTAACATTCATAAAATAAAATGCCACATCATGAATTATTATTGTTCTGAAATAACCTTGTGACTTTGATCACAGATTGCCCCAGTATAGGGATTCTCTGCTTCGATATCAAACTAACGTCGAATGTTTTCTCAAACGGCTACTGAGAAATAACTGATTGATTAAAGAAACTCACAATTTAAAAAACTGTCACGTATATGAATACTTTTCAAAATATGACCGCAACGTAATCGATCAAATGTCTTTATCTCAAATACAAAAGGGGACATTAGCCTACTAGTTCAAAACAATTTCGTTATGCCACAAATACATGAAAATTGTTTTCATGTTTTTACGCGGAAACGGTTCGTCGGACGTAAAAAAAATCAGTAAGTCAAATTGTTGCAAAAAAAGGATTCTAAAAATAATTTTCATTTTCTGAAAAATCAAGGGCGTACGATATTTTTTTCAAAAAATCTCCAGGATACATCCCTAAGGTACGCCACTGGTAGAGATATTGAGAAATCTTCTGCATCGAAAAATTCCTATTGGTGCTTAGTAGGCGCATGTCAAATTATATCTAGAACGGTATTGAAGTATTGATAAGAAAACGATATTTTTCTCAAAATTTCAACACCCTATAGGTCGAAAGTTAAGGGGTTTAGGGCATATGTTCATGTGAACTTGTCTTCTCAAAATGAGCTGAGGAACCATATCCTTCATTTTCATCCATCAATTAAATAATACCCTGTATACAGGGTGTCCCATAAGTGATGGATCAAAAGAAGTGGGGTGGTAGGGGGGATAATTTCCAATCGAACTAACCGTATATGTGGTTATCCAATTATTGATGGTTCAAAATTTATTAATGTTCTTTCATTCCTATAAAAAGAATAAATAACAATAAAACTATGTCAGACTTGTGATTTTTTCTTTCACGAATTTCATCCACGTGGATGCACCTTTCCTCAGAAATACTTTCATGACATGTATTACTACGTATCAATTACAGGAGAAAAAATTGTTTTCCTTGAGTTTTGTTATCGAATGAAATATTTGAGTCGGTTTTTAAATGCCGCTGGCAGATTTGAAAACTACCCCACAAAGAAAACCAATCATGAGAAGTTGCCCATTCAATACAGATTTCGAAATTGTACAACATAATATGTGGTTATCTAAAACAGTCTTTTTGTTATTAATTTTTTTAAAATGGGTCGCTTTTCTCAGAAAAATTGAATAACTTTTGAACCATCAACAATTTGATAACAACATATACCGTTGGTTTGATTATAAATGACCCCCCCTACCACCCCACTCCTTTTGATCCATTACTTATGCGACACTCTGTATATTCCTTGAGTATAATAAAGACCATCGACAGAGTTGCTCAGGATATTCTTTAAACTCATCCTCCGCAGAAATCTGTAATCGACGATAATATCCCAGAATAATTTGTCGATAGCAGGGCCGGATCGGATTGAATATGTTGGTTCAATTTATTTCATGATATTTATGATTAAGAAATGTAGCTATATAGATATTTCAATAAATACTGGAAAGATCTGAATGATTTTCAAATCTACCATAAAAGGTAACGTTTTTAACATCACAAATAGTACCTATTCAACTAAGACATTTGTAAATTTGTGATTTATTGGAGACGTTTATAGAAACAATTCATAGGTTTGATTCAAAGTTTAGTCCAAAAATCATGTTCATCATGAGGAATAAGGTATGCATATCAATTCTGATGTCCACGAAAAATCATTGGGAATATGACGAACAATCTCTAATCATAGTGATAGAGTCTTTCAATGCCAGGTAAACTCAAAAACCTCGAAGCAGATGAAATCTTCAAATGCACTAAAATACTCTATCAAGGCAATGACTGGAAAGCTTGAAGCAGGTGTCACTTTTGGAGGTAGAGGTCATGTCAGCTGTCAGTATTTGTTTATTTATTCCTAGTAACTGAATTTGTTTACGAAATTTCTTTGAAAATGGTATTTGAGATGCTTCAAATCTGTATTGTGCCTTTGTGTTCCTCGAGGACGCCTGGAATAAGCAGAGAATATGGATTAATCGTAACCTCACTTTTTATTTAAGTATAGTAGTTCTCATGCATTATGTGTTTAGATGACAAATGATCTCTAAGGGCACTAGTGCCGCCACGTGGAAGAAATATCGGGTATCCCTTCCACTGCTGACCTTTCTACAAAGTACAATGTTTTGATCTAGTACCTATGTAGCCGAACTTGAGATTTTTTTTTTGGTACCTACTTCTAAGACGAAAAGTTCTTGTAAAGATAGGTCCGCCAACGCATAGTTTTCATGACGCAGGGTATCAAACTTTTTCTAAAGAACTTTGCATTTTCTGACTCATGGTTATATGAAATTTTTGTTCATAAAATACTTAATGGTAGGGTAGGGTTTACTCGAGCGGGGAAGAATAACATAAGATGGGTAACCTTGTACCTTGTGAAGTACTCCCACCATCCCTGATCCCTTTATATGGGGTCGAACGTCTAGAGCAGCCGATCAGATTAGTAAGTAGAATCGATCTTTAAAAAACTTGACCGCGTCAGATTGAGGCTAGGTAAGTTTAGGGTCCCTTGATGGAAATTGACGTTAGAGTCATCTCAACAGGGTACGGACATATCATAGCTGCATTCTTTTTTAATGATCTTTTAGTTTTGTCTACTGGCATCCCTGACATTGCTGTCACGTCACATCCATGGGCGCTACAGAAAATCATTCAAAATTTTAATAATAGGTATGTACAGGGTATTTACTTGTTGAGGAAGATCATATGGCGAACGAGTTTTGTAATTATGATTCGATTCTATTCAAAATTGGAAGGTATCTGGGGTTTTTCGGGGTTGGAGATAATGATTGTTTCGTCAAACTTGGAAAATTCAAGATGACGGATTCAATATATAGTGAAAGGAATTTCTAATTATGATCGGATTCTGTTTAAGATTGGTATCTGAGGGGTCGAAGTTCATGAGTTTTTGTCAAAATTGGAAAATTCAAGATAGAGGATCCAATATGGCGAACGAATTTTGTAATTATGATCCTATTCTATACAAAAATCAAAATTGGTATCTGGCGATTTCCGGGGTCGGAGATTATAATAATTCGGTCAAAATTGGGATATTAAAGATGGCGGATCCAATATGGTGGACGAGTTTTGTAATGAAGATCCGATTCTATTCAAAGTTGGTATCTAGGGGTTTCCGGGGTAGGAGATGATGATTGTTTCGTCAAAATTTTAGAATTCATGATGACGGATCCAATATGGCGACAGACATTAGTTCATATAATTATTACTCTACCACAAATAGAAAATATGTAGGATGCAAGAATGAAAACAACGTTCCTATAAGTTATACTGCGTATACCAACTTCTTTGTTACTTTCAAGAATAAATTATTCCAAAAAGGACTTTTTATTGAAGGGAGACGGAGAAATCATGTGTATAAAATGGGGATAAAGTATATTCGATTCTTCATTTTCCTGCACATTTTACGTTTCACTTTTTATCAGCCTACTTTTCGTCCCAGACGAAGCTTTATACATAGTGTGATATTAGTCACTCCATAAATTCATCTCCGAATTGGAATTCCGAAAATATATTTAGCACACATGACATGAGTACAGTAGTTCAGATACCCACATTGAGGTTTCCACCATTTCTCAATCATAAGGCTCAGCTCATTCAGCTCATTGATAAACTTCTGCTCAGCTTGAAATCAAAATTCATTCAGTCAATTCAGTCAACCCTGGCATACAGTCTTAAGAACAATTTCTTTTGGTGAAATATATTAAGCTTTCAGTACAATTAAAATGTTCCCTACCTCGCAAAGATTGGTATAGTAGAATCAGGAATTCCATATGGAAATTACGTATGATACGCCAGTGACCTCAATATAACCTAAAAAACAACGAATGTCAAAAATCTAGTATTTATTTCCAGAATTGAATAAGGATGGAACTATATAACTGTTTCACAAACACTTTAGAGTGAGAGGAAACGAGGATCTGTCCGTACCCTGTTACTTTAACGTCAATTTCCATCAAGGGACCCTACATGCAGGAAAGTGTGCATGTAAATAATCTGAGCGTAATATACGAAAAATTGGAGAGCCAGAAAGTTGAATAAAAAAGTCACCTGTACATTCTGGAGCACAGTTAATTTTTCTTTAATTTTCTAGGAAATTAGTCACGGATCCCTGAAATAACATAATCTGCCGATTTGCACAAAAAAACAAAAATCATCAATTGAGTGTGGTGCATGCAGCCGCTGGGAACTATACAGGGTGAGTCAAAAATGTGTACCAAACTTTCTGGAGGCGGTAGTACATTGAAAAATAAATAAAGTTTGATCAATAAACTAATGGCCCAAAATGTATATTAAGGGAGATGTATCCCTCCAAAGTTGATCGAATTAATATAATTTTTTCGCATAACGTCTGAACGGTAAAAACCACCAGATTGATATTTCCTGCATAAATGTATGTTGATAAGATACATTTTTCTGATACACTTTTACATTTCTGAAATTGTAATAAAGAGTGTTTAAAGTGGGTGGTTCATGATTTTTTGTAGACAAATTTTTTCCTCATATTCTTTTTGGTGAAGGAATAGAAGTATTTGATAGAGCGAAAAAAATCACATAGGAATGGTAATCTCATCGGAAAACAAAAATTGTAACCGTTTTCGAGATATTTGAGTTTTTGTAGTGACATGATATCAACAAATAAATTCATTTGTAATAATATTCCAGGAGGCTTGAAACTTTTTGGCTGGACACCATCTCTTCTTCTCATTCTAAAACATTTCTTCTCACACAATCTTTGACCGATATTCAAAATTGTTCTAGAATTTGGAAGGCGTCCAGCGGGAAATAAATAACCAGTAATTCCTTAAAATCTCAGTTGAAAATCGCAGAAATAATATTACTATGCAAGAAAAAACGAACAAGAAAATTAAAAATAACAATGCTCATGTCATGAATGTCAATATCAAGAACAAAATTGATCATGACCTCCTTAAATATCGTTACCGATGAATTAATCTGCTGATATCAAGTGACTACAAAAACTGAAATATCTTGAAAACGGTTAACATTTTTCTATTTTGATAGGAGTACCGATTTCATGAAATTTTTATCGCTCAATCAAATGCACCTCTTTTTTCACCAAAAAGAATACGAGGAAGAAAGTTGTCTTCAAAAAATCATGACCCACCCACTAAAACCACCCTTCAGAAATGTAGAAGTGTATCAAAAAACATTATTTCATACCTACAGACCTTTATGCAAGAGATCGAAATTTCGTGACGTTCACCGTTCAGAAGTTATGCGGGAAAATTATTTAAATTTCATCAACATTGGACGGATATATTTTCCTTAATATACATTTTGGGATATTAGTTCATTCATCAAACGATATTTATTTTTCAATGTACAATCACCTCCAGAAAACTCTGTATACATTTTTGAGTCACCCTGCATATTTCCCAATTCGCGCCATTCTGCCCTTCTCACTCTTTCTTTATCTCTCACTCTCTCGCCCTGTCCCCATATTGCACAGATCACCCAACGCCCAAATGTGAAACCTAGGTTTCCCGTCAGAACGAAATTTGTATGCGCATGTCCGGCGTTGTCATGGTTACAAGGGCATCTAATCTTCACAATCTAATAGGTCTCCACGACGCTCGAGTAAACCCCTCCTATATAGCCTCTGCCTCCTACTATAATTAGAATACAAAAAATATAGATTTCAGTCATGAAAACAATTCATCTCTGATTCATTTCACTTGATTATTTGGGATTTTCTCTCCTCGTGCCTATAAAACAAAAATATAAGTATTATTTCAATATATGTGTAGTAGGACGAATCAGATGATTTGCCCCAAAATGTCACTGCGTTTAACACATTTTTCTATCAGGGAGCCTAAAAGTAAAATCCAATAGCTTGTCAGTGACACTTATTTGTTTGGAAACATGTTTGAAGAGAAGAACTATTAAAAAAATAACGAATTTTCACTTATCTTTGGACGTTTCGGGAACGAATCTGCTCCCGTTCTCGAAATAAAAATGCAAAATATTTTTCTTCGAAAATGTTTTTTTATAGTTTGACACCTCTCAGTGACATACTGATGTTGGCATATGGATTGTTGTTGTTGTTCTAAAATTGTGCTATCCGTCATTCGGTTGCCGAGCAACCCTCAGAAGTCTTCGAAAGTCTTGTGCGAGCAAGGAATGACGGGGGCCTTACCTTTTAACGTGTGATCCCAAACACTTTCTTGGGTTATCAGAAAAATTTCTGCAGTCGATGGGATTCGAACCCACGACCGGCAAGCAAATGCGAATTAGAATATAGACACTCTGTCCGCACGGCTACCTGGCACCCAATGGATGAGTGATGATCTTAGTATACAAATGAGTTACAGGATGTTTTTATCAATCGATCTTGAATCTACCATTTTCATGTTCAGTTTTTAGTAGTGAATACCATATTCTATCTATATCAACTGAACATTAAGCAATGCTATTGTCTCCGTTCAGAAGAATGCAAGCGGATTACTTGATTTTTCTCTTTTGGTTGTTATCTTTCTTTCCTATGATTTTAATATTATTCCACTCTGCTATATGTTGTCCATTTTCAGTAAGGATATGTTCAGTTACCTTTGATTTATCGATATGTTTTTTTTCTTGATATTGTACTTGTGTTCATTCATCCTTACTGAGAAAGGTTTCTTCTTTTCACCTGTATAATACTCTTCTCAAACACAAGATATACTATAAATTACATTTTTTTGATGATTGTTTTCTCTGACTTTTCAGTAATTGAAATTATTTTCTTTATAGGGCAGATCACTTGGTGAATTGGTCCTGTGTTCTCCAGTCGGCAATATCTGACATTGAAGTAGAGCATTTATCTTTAGACGGACCTACACATATTTCTGTACCGGGATATGAAGATTCTATCGAATTTGGAATTCTGACTAAATTTGCCTATAAAATCGAAGATTCAGGTGCGTTGACAAATATACAGGGTAATCCACCTAAGGTTGTGAATAATTATTTAGTGAGCTGTTGATACCAAACTTAGCTGAAATAATCTGAATGAAAAAAGTTGCAATATGGCATCTATAGACCCTTCCGTGATCCTTCCCCGTCTTTGCCAGGAAATTTTTTAATATGTGTCATATATCACAGTTTCCATGCGAAGTAAAACCTATTTTTGAAAAAGGTTCTCTGTAGGTTTCAGTACGAATTATTACGTCCGACTGCTCTAAAATTTCTCAAATGGAAGACTAAATAGTTATTTGTTTTTCAAGGGTGAAAACTAGTAGATTTTAGCTCCAGGTTATGTTGTCTGTGACAGGAAAAAGGACGAATCAATATTGAGAAGGTATTACATTATATTAAAATCATAAAACTATCGACGTGAAATTTGGAGTTCCAGGAATAACACATGTACTGCAGGCATCTTTATCATTCTTTTGAAGTAATCAAATATCTGTCAGCCTAATTCTGTGATTTAATTTTAATAGATTGAGGATTCAGTGTTTTTTCAGTAATTTACTTAAGCGCGAAGTCGAATGGAAGTTGAAAGGACTTGCTGTTCTTTCTCGGAGATGGGATTATTGTCTTATTTTCGAAACTATAGCACATGCCTTTTCTCTAGAGAAGCCGATCTCACTGTGCCCAACAGAAGCTTGTCAGGAGTAACCATACCTTTGAAGAAATCCATTTCGATGCTTGGTATTACCATCAGCAATAACCTTTCTTGGGAAAATCACGTGGGATCAATTGCTAAAAGTGCATCCTAAAAACTTGGTGTTCTGTTTCGGGCCAGGAGCTATTTCACTTCCAGTCAGCTGCTCATGATCTATAAGGCACAGATCCGACCTGTCCTGGAATACTGTTCCCATATTTGGAGTGCAGCACTCAAACATATACTGAAACTGTTGGATTCTGTTCAAAAAGCGCAATTCGTCTCGTGGGTGATGCCTCGCTCACAAACTCACTCACTTCTCTGGGACACCGTAGAAAAGTTGGCGATCTGGCTCTATTTTATAGATATTTTCATGGTCGATGCTCTTCTGAAATATCAACAATTGTTCCTCCCTTGGCAGTCCCCGCGAGATTAACCCGTCGAGTTGAGGCTTCGCACCCCTTTGTGGTCACTTCAGAGACCTGCAGAATATCTCTTTCCAAAGACTCGTTCATCCAACGAACAGCGAGGCTCTGGAACACATTGGCATGGGAGGTGTTCCCCGAGACATATAACCTCCATAAATTTATAATTCCGAATATTTTTTCAACAAATGATTTCATCATCCTACCAATACATTTTCACATGTATGCATTGTTTTTGCATGAAAATCGTCAATTCATAGTTGAATTTACTAATTCTCTGATGAATGTATCTGTACCTCCAACATTGAACCTGAATTATATGATTAGTCAACCTTCCTAACAAGTGGGCAAAGTTTTACTTTACCGCATAATACAGTTAGGCGAACGCCGCGAAGCGGAGAACTTTTACTGCATTGTATCACGAATCAACATCCGAGATATTTTCTCAATTTGTCATTAATTTCAATACTTATTTCCATGTTCACTTTTACAGTCTGACAGACATTCAACAAAAATCTCGCATGACATGACTTGTGACGTTAGTGGACAGGGGTTGGTTGCATATCTTTCTCAAACAAATGTCTGCTATGAGGAATGATTACTTGTCTCTATCTACTCTCATTTGAGCATGAATATATGCAATTAAGCAAATATATGTACTCATCGTTTCCATTCCAAACGGAAAATATAATTGTGTTGAAAAAGCATGATTAAACTAGCATTTCGACGATATATCAATATCTCGATCAGAATTATACTTTCTATCAATAAACCATATACTTACTGATACATTGATGAAATTTTCTCCACTTTTGGGACCTTAAAGAAATATTCAATCCAGGAGGTGGAACATTTCATTTCTCTAGATTTTTTTTAATTTTCTCTTCGTTTCTATAAATAAAAAAATAGAACATGGCATATTCACTCATCTGAACATGAAAATGGTAGATTCAAGATTAATTAATTAAGACATCCTGTAGCTCATTTATTTGCCACTATCAACATCAATTACTGAAAACTGTCAACAAAAAAATCCGAAGACCATTTGTCAAGAAGAACATTTTATTCTTGAAACGGGAGCTGATTAGTTCCCGAAACGTCCAAAGTGAAAATTTGATTTATTTTCGATATATCTATCGTTTTCAAACATTTGGGGGCAAATTATCTGATTGGAATAATACTCATGTTTTCATTTATAGACAAAGTTAGTTTGGAATTTTTCTTTCATGTGTCTAATGGTAAAATTTTAATCATAACTACATTTGAGGACAAAATTATTCAATTTATCCTTACTACAAGTATATTGACAAAATACTAAGATTTTCATTTTTAGAGGCGAGGAGAAAAGTTCCCAAAATTGATATAGTTGAGTTTTTATTGATTTCAATCAATTGGCACCTTCTATAGTAATAGCATATTTTATTTGATGAATGTGTGATACAGAAGATTGAATGGATTGCATCAAGTTACAATATCTCGATGTTGAATTAGTTTGGACATTAGAATTAGTAGAGTAGGATCACTAATTTCGAAAATTCAACTTTTCTTCACTCCTCATCACCTGTAAGCACAATTCGGTCAAATTGACAAAAAACATGTTTCCATGATGGTTAACATTTTCTATCCACATTGAGATTAAAAAACAGAAGTGAGTACTTATTTATTTTCAATTTAATTCAAATTCAGTTTCATAACTGAGATGAAGTTGAAAGGTTCACTACAAAAGATGTAGGTATGAATATAAAATGGAGATTATTAAATGAATAGGGGTTCGTTGGTATTGGATAATGAAGAAAAGTTGAAATTGGAAAAAGAGAGCATGATCAACAAAATCCCATGTGAAGGCTGAGATCGAATCATTGTTATCTACTTACATATATATTGCTCAATGTTACCGATGAAAATGTTCTGTTACTATAAGGGGATCAAAAAAGTTGAAATTCAATAAAATTATGAGTGTTATATGTATATCATTGAATAGGCAATATATGTATGGAATCGTGAGTTTTCGAAAAATAGTGTACTTTTCCTTTGAGTTAAAAAAGTTTCGTACACTTTTGGAATGGAAGTGTCTTATTTGATAAGATACTTGCTACATTGTACATTTATGACATCAAAAACCGATAACCGATTAAATTTAAAATTTCTTATCAGATTTTCAACAAAGATATTGTGTGAAAGTCAGAAAGAGGTTCCTAAAATTAAGGTCAAGAAATCTAGGAGTACACAGAATTGTTATAACTACGTAGAACAACCTCATCGAGTGTAGCAATAGATCTTTTAGGTCGCAGTGCATACAATAAAATTCCTAAAATTACCAAATACTTGATTGGATAATAAATGACATTGAAATACAGGATCTTGCAGTTTCACTCTCTCAAACATTAATAGATTATAATAAAATCTTCAAGATAAGAAGAAGAATCCGCTTTACAAACATAGATCCGAATATATGTTTCGCTATTCAAGGTTTTATAAATAAAACCTTTATTTCAATTTTCCAATAGCCGTAATTTGGGTTCGATTTTCCATCTGTGTACAGTAGTTTTCTAGAAGAATCAAACAATGAAGTGGCTAAAGTATCTGCGAAAATTGTTCGCTATTTATTAGTTTCTTGAAATCAATGTTTTCAACCGTTGGTTCCTCTTTTATGTAGATGAGGAGCTAGTTGTGGCAACGACACGACCAGAAACTATGTTAGGAGACGTCGCCGTAGCTGTTCATCCTGAAGACGATCGTTATTCTAGATATGTTGGCCGTCATCTGTGGCATCCATTCAGAAAGGAGAAGATACCTGTGATCCGAGATGATTTTGTCAGCAAGGAGTTTGGCACAGGTGAGTTCCGAAAAAATATTGTTTTTTGGAAACCAGAGTTGATCTTGTTTTTGATAGTATCAAAATTCCCATTGAATTGGAAACGGCTCAGATGATGATTAATGATTTTCGCCATTGCAGGATGATAGGAAACATTGGTACAGTTGTATGCACGAACTAGTCATACAAGGCTTGTATGGTGTAAACCTGCCTATAATGTTCTTGATTTCATTGAAAAGTAGTTAGTCTAAGATCCGAACCTAAATCGACCTTCACCGAGCTGATAATAGAACGAAATATATTTTATCATGAATTTAGTATATTAGAAAACATATTAAAAATGAGTTCGCTAAAAAAATCCTGGGCAGACTATTTTTAATTATTTTTCGAAAAATTATTTTTAATTGAATGTTGCAACATCAGGATAATAAAAAAAATTTGTCCTGACTGAAAGTATAAAACGTATAGAATGTGCAGCCGTTGGGTTGTCTACTATTTACCTGGGCGAACTACTGGGTTGTCAGGTAAACACAGGTATATCGATGCCAGTTACTTTCACTGGATTGGATAATTAAAAAAAAATTGTATCATCATAAGCGCTGTTTAATTGCGAACACGTTGATATAGGGTTGTCTGCGAAAATTCCGGTCCTATTAGGGGTTTGCGAATTTTAAAGATTTTAATGTCAACGCGCGTGGAAGTGTGTGACAGAGAGATCCGAGGTAAGTATACTGTGTAATAAGAAAGGACCCAACATCGCAGTCGCTTGTGATGGGACCCTGAATAGTAGAAAGTGTGCGAAGTGTGCGAAGTCAAATCCTGAAAACTATGGTTGGCATTTTGATGATTTCTTAAAACCAACAGGTTTTATCGGAGATTAAACTCCTTTGAAAATCCAGGACATTGTCGAAATGGAAGCAAATGAGGAAGGATCTAATGAATCAGACGAATTCGAGAGTCAAAATGATACTTCTGATGAATCAGATATTGAATAGAAAATATTTATTAGAATTTATTTTTCATTAATATTATTTTTGTATTTATACTGTTTTTTAATAAAATTTTAAATCGTAATACAAGATGTCTAGTATATCTTTTTTGTTATTTCTTAATTTAAATTTTTGGCGGTCCACTTTGTTTCTATTTCCAGAAAGAGCAAAAAAATTTCGAAGCAAGTAATTGATATTTTTATTGTCTATTATAGATTATAGATATATTATTATGGTTATAACGCAATATATTGATATTATATTGTTTTTATATATTAGTATTATATTAAATATATTTAATTATTATGTATTTAATTAATTTTTTTTTTTTGCTACTGAAATATCAGTTGCTCCAAAATAACACGCACTGTTTACTATATGTAGGGTAGTAGAGGTACCTCTACCCTCCATAGTTTACACACCGAGCATGCGCACTTTCTACTATTCAGGGTCCCATCACAAGCGACTGCGATGTTGGGTCCTTTATTATTACACAGTATACTTACCTCGGATCTCTCTGTCACACACTTCCACGCGCGTTGAAATTAAAATCTTTAAAATTCGCAAAACCCTAATAGGACCGGAATTTTCGCAGACAACCCTATATCAACGTGTTCGCAACAGCGCTTATGATGATATAAATTTTTTTAATCATCCAATCCAGTGAAAGTAACTGGCATCGATATACCTGTGTTTACCTGACAACCCAGTAGTTCGCCCAGGTAAATAGTAGACAACCCAACGGCTGCACATTCTATACGTTTTATACTTTCAGTCAGGACAAAATTTTTTTATTATCCTGATGTTGCAACATTTAATTAAAAATCATTTTTCGAAAAATAATTAAAAATAGTCTGCCCAGGATTTTTTTAGCGAACCCATTTTTAATATGTTTTCTAATATACTAAATTCATGATAAAATATATTTCGTTCTATTATCAGCTCGGTGAAGGTCGATTTAGGTTCGGATCTTCTACTAAGTACACGTACACATTTGCGCGTTACTGACAAAAATAGTTTGATATTTGACACTACTTGTCAAAGCCGATAAGACGATTAATCAAGATTGACAAGCATGACTCCCGATAGCCATTATAACTGCTGTACGATTTGTTTAAGCACACAACTGTACTTGAGTTTATTTGATATCTGATAGAAGTTCATTTTCTCGAAGTGGAGTATTGTGTGACAATAAGGAAAATTCAACTAACATGAGTTCATCTGTAGTCTTAGCTGTCACAGATATAGAGTTCTAGAAATAGTTCAGTCATTACAAATTACAATTACATATGTTACAAAGGGTTATGGAGAAATGAAACCCCAAATTTACGACCGCTGCTAGCACTGCTTTCTTGGAAAACTGTCTTCCGAAATCTGTTGTCCAATAGGTTTTAGAAAAAAAGTTGAGCTATACCAAATGGAGATATATCTGCAACAATAAATCTCTTCAAAACCATTTTCGTTGAAATTATAGTTTCTGAGTCAGTACAATGCTGTAAAGTAGTCAAAAATTGGTCGTATGAAAAAACAGTTTTTATATGATTTTTTTCACATTATTCAGGAACTGACAACGTTTTTTGTTCAATTCTATACTGGTGACAAGGTATCGGGCCACCCCTGTAACTTCTGCATTCTTAAACGGATTTTTCTGAAATTTGGTACAGTTAGTTATGTGAGCAACGATCTCGGATTCGATGAAATTACAATTCATTATGCCGGACTTCCTTTTTTTTAATGCCAGGACCTTTTTTTTTCAAATGGAACAGCCTGTAAGTATATCTTTATATTTTCCAGTTCAACCGGCAAAACAAGTACAATCTTCATGACAAGATTAGGAAATGTTATTTTTTTTCCTCAGCTTACTTGAGAAATAATTCGAACTGCAAGGAAATTCATGAACCTAGTTGTTGATTTTTGGATGTATACAATTTATTACTGCACCGAAATTCAAAAATGTATGTATGTTCCATAGATACATGTTGGCGGCCCATAGGGGTTCCATTTGGAAAAAATGAATTCTGGATCAAAATGTGATGTGACAAAAAATGATTTTTCAGAAAAAATATTTTCCTCCAGTGTATGGGACTCATTGTGAATAGCCTTTACTCCATCTCATTCATCCTCGAGGTAAAATAAACAAATCTTATTCAAATTTTCTCGAAAAAATAACATTCCAAGTAAAAATTGCACTTGTCTTGACCTGTTGAACTAGAATATATAAAAATATACAGGTTGATTCATTTGAAAAAACACCGGAAGTCCGCCATATTGGATTGAAATATAATCAAATCTGAAATGCTTGCCTATATGACAGTACCAAATTTCTTAAAAATCTGTTCGTGAATGCAGAAGTTACAGGGGTGGCTCGATATTCTGTGTCACCCGGTATAATAATTTAGAAGTGAACAAATATTCAGCCATTACTTGCTGATTCACAGCATTCCATGAATACGCGGTCTAACCACTTTTCCATGGCCAGAAACGGTTATCAAAATAATCGAATACAAAAAAAAACAATACAGAATACTCTATTGTTTCAAATGATAATTTTCCAAACAAGTGCAGATGCACTTCGCACATAGATATATTGTGTTACTTTTACAAGATCGACATTTTTTCTTGCACTGTTGATATCTATCATTATCAAATGTCTGATATTAGTACGATAAAACCAGCTCAAAAGTTACCCAAACCCAAACATGAAAAAAAAGTTGAACCCGGCGGCAAAATGATCCGTCTACTTCCCTTAACACGTAAAAAGTTACACCTTGCCGAGCGTCGGGTATGGGTGGGGGAGGGTAAAGAGACGGACAATTTAATTTTTTCGCAGTGTTCGCCTATATTTTGAAAACTATGAGGTTTAGGTCACCCTCACACGGAAATGATCTATATTGGATTATGAAGAGTAAACATTTTTTGTTGAATGAACGGTTACGGAGACATGAAGGGGGAAAATTTACAGCAACTTTTCTGAGTAAAAATTGTTCTAAAAGAAAGGAAATGCATAGGTTTTGGTAAAATTGTTTAAGGATAAAAAAGTTTTCTTGATAGACAACTTTCATAAAAAAAAGTTATAACAAAATATATCTTTGGGGTTGAATATTTCAACTCCTTTTGAGCATACTGCAAGGTTGAAAACATTTCAAAATGTGTAGTTTTGTTGACAAATAATATTTACCAAGTTTCGTGACTTGAGTCTACAGGAAAAATGGAAAAACCATGTTTTCTTCAATCTTCGGAGGGAAAAGGTTCATCAAAAAATTCTATAGCAAATTCCATTAACAAAATTTTCATGGACGATGTTCTTCTGAAATATCAGCAATTGTTCCTCCCCTGGCAATCTTCGCGAGATTAACTCGTCGAGTTGAGGCTTCGCACCCCTTCGTGGTCACTTTTAGAGACCTAGAACATCTCTTTCCAAAGACTCGTTCATCCAACGAACAGCGAGGCTCTGGAACACATTGCCAAGGGAGGTGTTCCCCTAGGCATATAACCTCCAGAAATTTAAGAAGAACGCCAATTCCTTCCTTATTTCCTTTGGTTCTCACGATGTTCTCTGATCATTACAGTCTATCCCTTTTCGTGGGAACCAGAACATAAAAAAAAACAACCTTTATTTTCATCACAGAATCACTCCTCAAATTTAGATACATCCTGTTTAATTTATATGGGATACTTACATACATCATATAAGTACATAGTGTATAATATACATTTTATTTCAAGATTCTGGAAGTACTACTAATTGAAAATTTCTTGCCGTAATTATAAAGATAAAAAAATATTATTTAGAATATCAAATATTTGGATTATTTTGCTCTCCGCCTGAATTTATTGAAAAATCGCAACTGGGTCATTTCTGGTACTGTTAGACTGTTCAGAGACTGCTACAATAAGACTCGGCAGAGGTGCATTCCAAATACGCATGCGAAAATACTTTAATTAATTTTTGTAGCCTTTTTGACGATTGGGAAATTATGTAATTTTTTCCCTTTCATATATCCGTAACCGTTCATTGAATAAAAAAGTTGT